CATACCTGAGCTAAGGGATTCAGGTACCCGGGGCATATTTAATTTGCAAAGTGCATTTTATTCAGTGCTTATACATTTTTATATTTTTTACCTTTTTTTATATAAAACTTGGTGATAAAAGTAAGGCCTTTAAATATTAAGAATAATTGTCTTTTAATAAAACTAAATTCGATGTATTTTATTTCACTTACAAGCGGCAGTGCGTCCATATATTAGTGTAAAACAATAATGTTATCATCGATCTTACATGAGAATGCATTTTTATTCTTTATAAAATTTAACGATTTAATCCAATTTGTATCGAAACTTCCACACTAAAATTATAGAATTTTTCAAATATTTCCTACGCCAGCGTACCACGGTAAAGACGGTCCAGTGAAGATTAGTCGTCCTGATATTTTACCATTTGCTGCCAAATTAGTCGAGGCAGCCAACTCTGTTGGGTACCCCACCAACCAAGACTTCAATGGGAAAACAATGGAAGGTATTGCTCAAATCATTCTCGCTCACCTGACTATGAATATAATGTTACGTGTCTATATAGCTTGAACTCTATTATCCCCAGGAATATCTTACGTTCAAATTAACACCAAGAACAGCGAACGGTGGTCAACAAGCGATGCTTACATCCATTCAGACTCGACCAGACCGAATTTACACGTGTCTGTACAATCGCACGTCCAGAAGGTTATGGTTTAATTAAATCTTTTATTTTTATAAATTTTTAAAATAATATTTTTAATTATTATGTGTTATTAGTAGCAAGTCTAAATTTATCACATGACGTTGTAAACGTACATTTTTAAAACACTAATTTTATTATCATATAATTCATTGATTATGATTGCAATATGTATCATAATTTTCACAAGTTCACACAAATACCTAACTGAAAACGATAAAACTAATTTCGTTTCTTGTAATATTCAAAAACATTTTAATTAACTCTAAAGGCGCTAGCAATCAAGCAATAATTTGTTAACAACTCGTGGATACCTACTTCATTTTATTCACGTTAAAAATTGTGTAAATGTCAATTAAGAGAATTTCGCAATTTTCAACATATTTTTTTCGGGTTGTAATTTCTTTTAATGTTATATTAGCATTTAAAATCTATTTGTTTGTATTCAGATAATCATTGAAAACAATAAAGCAACTGGTGTTGACGTGATTAAAAATGGCCGCAAGTTCAGAGTCCATGCAAAAAAAGAGGTCATCGTGTCTGCGGGGTCTGTAGGCTCTCCACAGATTCTCATGCTGTCTGGCATTGGCCCTAAAAAACATTTGGAAAGTTTACAGGTATTATGTTTTTATAAACTTATACTAAACATTATTCTTTAACCTAGACCCAAGAGATGTTATTGCAATGGCAGAGATAATGTTATAAATTGAGTTGTATACATATTCATCATATATTACATTATCTACAAATAATCACAGTGATTAGAAAGTTACATCTGTACACAGTGTCAATATTCACCAGTTTTGGAACCTTTTTTTCTGAGAGTATTAATTTGTTTTAAAGTGTACAAAAGCATGCATTATTGTTAATAATACATTTTAAGCAAGTTATAATGATATTAAACCTTTAAAAGTGTGTTAAATATTTGACCGTATTTATTGGAGTCTTGGGAATGCAAATATTTTGTTTCATAAATTTTCCCTTTTCCGAAAAAGTAATCTGAAAAATAATTTGACTTTAATAAAATAATATTAATATTTAAATCACTAATTTAATGAAGTGAAACCTTTGATTATTGTGCTAGATCCCTGTTGTTGCTGACCTACCTGTGGGAGAAAATTTACAGGATCACCTGATGTTTGAGTTGGGTGTTAGCATCAAGGAACCGTTAACTACAGCTCTCAGCTCATTGGCTAGTTGGTGGCCGTTGTTACAATACTATCTGCTTGGCAAAGGTAACACTTTCAGATACAAAATGTTACAATACTATGTGCTTGGCAAAGGTAACACTTTCAGATACAAAATGTTACAATACTATGTGCTTGGCAAAGGTAACACTTTCAGATACAAAATGTAACAATACTATTTGGTTGGCAAAGGTAACACTTTTAGATACAAAATTGGAGTCGGCGTGGTCGAGTCGGTAAGAGCTTATGGTTGCTAGTTCGAACCCTCGAGCAGATGAGGCTCGTTAGCTGGGGACAGCCACTCTTCTAGGAGAGACAAATCAAAACAACTGCTGCCTTGTAGCTTGTTCTTGGTTGGATAAGGGCTATGGGAGCAAATCCAGAAAGAAAAACAGGCTTAAATTTGAGTCAATGGCCTCAATGGCGCTTAATCGGTTTACACGTATACTTAATTGTGTTGGAAAGGGTTCGGCGTGGTCAAGTCAGTAAAAGCTCATGGTTTCTTAACCGAAAAGTCTCGAGTACGATCCCTTTCAACACTAAAAATTAAGAACAATAAAAAAAGTAAGAAAATACTAAATGTTTCAACACTTTTTGACTGGCCAAGTTAACACTTACAAGGTGTACCAATTCTAGTTACTTGGTATAGGTAACATTTTTATTCACAATATGTTACAGTACTGTTTGAAAAACTTTCAGCTATAAACATACATGTTTAGCGCTGATAGATAAGCATTGGGTGGATCTAACACGTCCCAAGAACTCGAGCCCAGGATCCGAACTCGAGACTCTGGAGTTTGAAGTCGAGCGATTAACCATTCAGCCACACCTTTCCACCGTTTGTTCTTGTATATTTATAATGTCGTTGGGTTTTGTGTGAAATAGTTATGCACATTTTGAAGCTAAAACAAAAAGAAAAGGTTATTGAATCTATATTTCAATCGTTTTTTTTTAAGTTTACAAAAAAATGTTCTGCTTTCAAAAAGTCAGAAAACTCAAGTGTTGCCTTATCTCCCCCCAGGACCCTTCACCATACCGATTGCAATGAATAATGTGGTTTTTAAAAGCACAACAGCGGCCACCAAAGAAAGAGACTGGCCAGATTTGCAGATACACATTGCTAGTATACTTTCTGGATCACAGAATCAACCTTACGGATACCACGACAGTGTACGCATATTTGATTATTTCCACTTGTTCAAATCTTAAATCGTGTTTCAGTTCTGAACACTATTTTTTAAATTACTACTCATTTTGATTATATAATTATAATTATTTTGTATTTAAATTGTATAATATGGTTTAGAATGCTCGTTTATTTGCTGCAGGTAAAGAGTCAGATGACCCCAAGGGATGGTCAGCAGTATGGGTTTATGTTTCTACCAACATTGTTGCGACCAGAAAGTAAAGGGACCATAACTCTCCGGTCCAAAGATCCATTTGATTACCCATTCATTTCGGCAAACTACCTAGTGAAACAAGAGGATATTGATTTGTTAATTAGAGGTACGTTCTGTGAGTCTAGGTTTGGTTTTTACTTTAATTGTTTCATATTTTATTATGTTATATTTTTTAAATTAATAGATTCTTTTATAGAGTTTGATGCAGTACTGATAGAGTAAAAATATAAGACAAAAAAATTCCATTTTTTTAAATACAATATCTGTAGGTGTTGAAGAATGTGAAAAGATTCTCAATACGGCCACTATGAAAGCTATTGGTGCTGAGTTCACCGAAAAAGATCCAGCAAGCCAGTGTAAACAGTACAAGTTCAAATCCAAAGAGTACTGGGGATGTGCTATCAAACTGAGACCCCTAACGGTCTACCATCCCGTTGGCACGTGCAAAATGGGACCAAACGGAGACCCATCAGCGGTCGTTGATTCCCAGTTGAGGTATATCATCTTATTGAATTCATGTTATCCAATTGTTAAAAACTAAAATTATTTCAGTCTAATTTTAAAACTATTTTTTCAGGGTTCGTGGTATATCCGGCCTCCGTGTGGTAGACGCCTCTGTGATGCCATGGATTGTGTCAGGGAACACAAATGCTCCTGTTGTTATGATAGCTGAGAAGGCAGCGGACATGATTAAAGGGAAACAACCACTGCCAGCTGAACATATATAAAAACGCTTCTTTAGTATTATGTTTTTATAATTGCTAGAAATATTTGTTTAACAAGGTATTACATGTTTTAATATAGAACGTGTACAAGGTTATTATTTTTTATCACTTCCTAGGATTGCTTTGCATAAAAAGTTATTTTAAGTTTACACACAAAAAAGGGATGTTACTATTGTTAATGTTTCTCTTTTTTTTATATCCCAGCATATAAACTTAAATATTTGTTTGTCACATAATACATTGTAAATTGTTTGCTTCTGAAAGTTACACGTCCAGTACTGACAATTGATTTGGACAAAATAAAAGATCAAATTCAGCTGACTTGATTTTAATTTGTACATAATTAGTGTACATGTACAGAGACAATAAATGTAAGTAGAATAGATAACCACGCACCATTCCAATACTAAAAAATAAAAAGACACATTTAAACTGAGACGCATTCGAAAGTGTGGAAAAGGAAGTTATTGTATTCAAAGCACAAATCTTTCTTTCATCGTTCATGTTTTAACCGTTTGATTTCTTCCATTAGACTTGTACGGATGTTTATTCTATATTTTTTAATAAAATGAAATGTTTTCATAACCTTCTTGTTACAGTGCTTCAGTTTTCGTGTAAAAATGTCAAATTTGTATACTTAAGTGATAATTCATTATATCTAAGCTGAATATAATGCATGGGTATCAAACGTTTCATTCGTTTTATGCGCCCGCACACTCACGTTCCAATTACTCAAGAGCTTACATAAGTGTGTAAATGACTACAGTTAATTCAAATGTCTCTATACACTGAAATCTAATAGATAGCACATACTGTTCCAGCCTTCCAATAAAATATTCAAATCGCGACATAAACAGGAATATCGCCAGCGTAGAAGTACACACGCAAATGTCAATGCTGCTTAGCTTAGAACAAACGCAACGAATTAGTGCACGCAACAAAACAAAAACAACCGAGGTCAGGGTAGAGCTCTTTATTTTTTTACCTAGCACATTAAATTCACAATACGTAAACATGTCTGGTCTACTGTGGACGTTACTTGTACTGGTGGCTGCTGTCTGTGTTAAAGTGTTTATAGTGGACCAGAGGGCTACTCAACACAGGGATTATATGATAGACAAATTCAATGCATCTTACGAATACATTATAGGTAGGTTTGTATTTCTTTTTTAAAGTAGGTCATTAGGTCAAGTATTATTTTGACCTTTGTAATAGTACATGAGTTTGGTATATGGTTGTTGAAAGTGGTAAACGTTAGTGGTTTTAAAGAGAGTTATTAAAAGCCATAAACAGAAACTGTAGAATATATAATACATAATAACTTTCAAAGCAAGTTTTCTGACAAGAGTTAAGAGTATGGTAATGCTCTGGGGTCCATGGAATTCTTTCAGAATAATTCTTCAGGGGGGGGGGGGGGAGGGTACTACCTCCACATAGAAGAATGTAACGAGTGTCCGTTTGTCCTACCCCTTCCCCAACAAAAATTTAAATGCCCCATCACCCCTACGATAAGAGAATAATGTCTAAAAACACTTAACATCGCTATAAACTGTCTCATAGGTTTAAAAGGACCATGTTCTGGGGTACTATCGTTAAGAATCTTGAATCAGTTATAGTGACGGTATGAGAATATATATATATATATATATATATATATATATATATATATATATATATATATATATATATATATATATATATATATATATAAAAGCTTATTTACAAGTATGTAACATTGATCAATGCACGATCCTATTTTAAAGCTCTTTATAAATGAATGTTCCTGCTTATCCTCGATCGATGTAAGTCTAATCCTATTGGCTTTCTCTTCAGTTGGTGCCGGCACCGCAGGCTGTGTCGTAGCCGGAAGGTTGTCTGAAACACGGGATGTCACGGTGCTGTTGTTGGAAGCCGGAGAGAGTGACCTGGGTAACTCCATTATCCGAATACCCGGACTGGCTCTTCTGACCATGGGTAGTAATGTGGACTGGGAGTATTACACTGAGCCACAGGACGGCAGGTTGCAGGGATTTGTAGGAGGTGTAAGTAAAGTTGTGCAGATGTTGCGAGTTGATCTCTTGTTAAACGTTTATGATGAATAAAAAAAAACAGAATGTGCCCATTTCAGAGATCGTTTTGGCCTAGAGGTAAGGTCTTGGGAGGTTCTGGAAGCTTGAACGGCATGGGATGGGTCCGTGGTTCTAGACACGACTACGACAGGTGGGCTCAATACCTGGGCACTGATGAGTGGGACTACAGACACGTCTTGCCTTACTTCAAGAAATCTGAGGACATTAAAGTACCTGAACTAAGGGATTCAGGTAGAGTGATTGTAAATACATTAGTTAAGTATATTCATTGTTAAGTGCATGCAACTTTAAAAATAAAAAAAAATACATTTTGATTATCACACACACACACGCACGTACGCACACACACACATACACATGTATAATGTCATCTATTCCATAAGCTATTAAAGGGTCATTGAGACACATCAGCTGATTTCTCCGCACATTCAAATTACAATCGGGTCAAGTCCCTAATGACAAACAAGTTTCTCCTTTATCTCCCTGGCCGTTTCCCCTTGGTACTTGCACGGTTGACTGCAACTGCTTTGAAGATAATTGCAAAAATTTTATATCAATACTACAATGTGTATTCATATGACTGAGTTGTCGGTTTATGAAATTATATAATTGATTTGCGGGTTTTGAAGTATTACAATCATTGTATTTTACACTCCACTATGATGATTTGCTTTTCCGACCAGTCAGTCTCTATCAAGCACCAACTGGCATAGCGCAAGTGTGTGAGTGTAAATGGATGTGTTAATGATTCACATAACTAGCTACATCATTCTTGTAAATACAGTTACAAATTAACTATCACATTGAGACTTTTTAAAAAAAACACTTTTTCTTTAATTGTATCGAATTGAGCTCTTTGATTTTCATCATATGTTAATCAATAACTTACACGAACACTACATTGTACCCAGTTAGCTCAAATACGAATTATATATATATATATATATATATATATATATATATATATATATATATATATATATATATATATATATATATATATATATATATATCTTATACAAACTTGTAAGGATGTTATATGTCTTGATCATGCAGTAAGCAGTCACAAAATACAATCTTTGAACCTGGTTATTCCCAACTCTACACTAACCTCGAATGTTGTATTTTTTTTTCATTTTTCTGTGTTAGTGTACCGAGGGAAGGCCGGGCCAGTGCAGATCAACCACCCCTCGTTTCTCCCTTTCGCTGAGACATTGCTTGAAGCAGCAAACGCCTCTGGTTACCCAATCAACCCAGACTACAACGGAAAAACTATGGAAGGTATCCGATGCGCAAACTATTACAAAAGTAGTGTAGTAATATTTTTTTTAAAAAAGAAAACACGTTGGATGTTTCAATATGATTCATCATCATCATCATTCCTTTGTGGCCCCTGAAGAGCAAAGGGCTTCAATTACACATGTCCAGCGGACTCGGTTTTTGGCCTGCTCCCTTAATCTTTGCCCACGTGAGCCCGACTGTCTTGGCCTCTTCCTTTACCGTTCTTTTCAATGTTTTTTTTTTGGCCGGCCGACTTTCCTTTTTCCCTGGGGATTCCAGTCCATTGCATGTTTTGCAATATCATCTTTTTCTCTTCTTAGCATGTGTCCAATCTATCCCCATATACGGGCCTTGACATCCTTCTCTATTGGCTGTTGTTTTAAAATTTGCCACAGGTCTTTGTTTGATATTTTGTCTGGCCATCTTATTTTAAGTATATGTCGTAAGCGTTTGTTTATGATCGATGACTGTAGCCTATCGGTATTTGCCTTTGTAAACCCCCAAGACTCCGAGCCATTTGTGTTGAAATCCCAGTTTTGCTCCGCAGTGACAGGGCCGTGCACCTCCACATCGGGCGCAGTGAGTTGAAGGCACATCTAGCCTTGTTGATACGTAATTTTATGTCCTCGTCTGCTCCCCCGTCCTAATTGATCACGCTTCCCAGATATGTGCATGTGTTTGTTTCCTGTAAATCTTCTCTTCTTCAATATGACTACCCTCAGGAATATCCTACTCCCAACTCAACACAAAGAACAGCGAACGTTGGTCAACAAGCCAGGCTTACATCCACTCAGACTCGAGCAGGTCAAACTTACACGTGTCCACTCACTCACACGTCCAGAAGGTCAGATCGGCGATTGCTTAAGATTTGACACATTTATTAAAATCATCAGAAATTATTTTAATTTTAAGTTAATTAAAAAGTATTTTCTTTTAACACGATACTATATATATATATATATATATATATATATATATATATATATATATATATATATATATATATCAGTAACACTATAATTTCTTGTATATACGAACATTGTATTTTTTAAAAATACTAGCAATACTTTCTTTTGTGTCTTCAAATACGAAAATAACTTAAGATAAAGAAAGTGATGATATTAGGCATGGACTGACTTTGAAAATTATTTTACGAAAGATTATAATTTTGGTTTTCAGATACAAGTAATCTATAATAAATTTACTCTATAGACTGTTTAATGTTATACATTCGAATTGTGTATCAGGTAACAAATAAGAGTTTTATGTACAGGGTAATTTAATAGATGCCTACATTAATTATAAGGTTCCTGTAATAGATCTATGTATTTTCACCAGATAACCATTGAAAAGAATAAAGCGACTGGCGTTGAGGTGATTAAAAATGGCCGCAAGTTCAGAGTTCACGCAAAAAAGGAGGTCATTTTGTCTGCCGGGTCTGTAGGCTCTCCACAGATTCTCATGTTGTCTGGCATCGGCCCCAAAACACATTTGGAAAGTTTACAGGTATTTTCCTGTACTGTAGTTTGTTTTAACTTTCAGGTTGTTACCTTTAAATGGGTCTACTACAAATTCCCGAAAGACAATTTCCCAAATGCCGCCTGCTCAAAGGCAGTTTTCTCGAATGGGCACTTTTCCGAGCGCGACAAACGCCCGACTGGACAAATATCCGAATGGACACTTGACCGAATGCAAAAAATTGACACTTTCTTTTTTATCTATGTCATTAAAGGCTACTCGACAGTCAAACTAGCCCATAGCATAATTAAGTATATTTTAATGTAGCATTGTATAAACGTTTATTTTTGGACATTTGTATTACTTGTCAAAAAAAAAAACAACAGTTTACGTGTGTTGATTTGTTGCTACTGTATGCCAGATCCCTGTTGTAGCTGACCTACCTGTGGGAGAAAACCTGCAGGATCACCTGATGTTTGACCTGGGTGTGAGCATCAACCAGTCTCTGACCCTCAGCCTCGATACACTCACCAGCTGGTGGACGATGATCGAATACTATTTATTCGGCACAGGTGATATTGGATTTTTAACCTCGATGTATTCTATCGTTGTGTTTCTTCTTATTGCGTTATAAGACCAAATGTGTTTCCTTATACACCATAAATTATGGTCTTTTTGCTAAGAAATCAGCATTTTGGGGGTAATTTTACTTCAAAAATAAATTTTACGCAGCGTTTTGTTTTAATAATCAATTATCATTTTAAACCAAAACGGAAATAGTAGTGCTGTCCAATATTTTATTTCGTCATTGCAAAAAGCTGTACGGCCTGACCAATTCAGTGTATATACCGATGACTTGGGGAACTCATAATTCACACTGTCAGGCTTGTAATGTCGTAGATATTAACTGAATTGATTGTTTTGAACGACGTCACAATAAAAGACATGATTAAAAGACATGATTGTTATACTCCCAGGTCCCCTCACCTCCCCATTTGCCGTCCAACACCTAGCATTTAAAAGTACAACTGCTGCCACAAGAGAAAAAGATTGGCCTGATCTGGAGATCCACTTTGTTAGTCTACTGCCTCATACGTCCCACCAAAAATACGGCTATACAGATCATGTATGTATTATAAATACTGTTCAAATATCGTAACGGTAATATAGTTTCTAATTTTTACTTGTCTATAACTAAATATGGTAGCTTTTAACCTCTGTGTTAGTTTGAAGAATGAAATTGATCATGAAATGTATTCCTCTTACGCGTAGATCACAGAAGAGATGGCCCCAAGAAATGAAGTTTCTTATGGATTCATGTGTTTACCGTCTTTAATTAGACCTGAAAGTAGAGGGAAGATAACTCTTAGATCCAGTGATCCATTCGATTACCCGGTTATTGTTCCTAACTATTTAGAACAACAAGAGGATATCGATCTGTTGGTTAGAGGTACACAGTACAATGTGTGATTTCACACTTTACACACAATAATTACAGGCATACGAATTTAGTCGTTACGAAATTAATCTACCGAATTTTTGTTAACTTAACCTTTGACATAAAAAATAAAAACACAAATGTAATTTTACGAAAAGAATTCTTGTATTTCCTTCAGGTGTTCACGAGTGTGAGAATATTGTAAACTCTGGCCCTATGAAAGCCATTGTTGCAGAGTTCACAGAGAAAAAACCCTCGTCATCGTGTAAACAGCACGAGTTCAAATCCAACGAATACTGGGCATGTGTGATCAAACAGAGACCTCTGTCTATCTACCATCCTGTTGGCACTTGCAAAATGGGACCAAAAGGTGATCCAACGTCCGTCGTTGATTCACAGTTAAGGTAAACATCTATTATTTTATTATGTTGTTATTGTATTTGGTTTTTCATCAAAACTGTGTGTATTTAGACATACTGCATGACTGATCGCATCGACGATAATAAATAAATAATGATCTGATAACGATTAAATTCTAAAAAGAAAATACATGTTTTAAAACATTTTACAAGCATTAAAAAACTAGTTCAAGAGGTTTTATGATATTTACACTCAATATATTATGAAATACAATCCCAGGGTTCGTGGTATATCAGGCCTCCGTGTGGTAGACGCCTCTGTGATGCCATGGATTGTGTCAGGGAACACAAATGCTCCTGTTGTTATGATAGCTGAGAAGGCAGCAGACATGATTAAAGGGAAGAAACCCTTACCAGCTGAAAATGTATGAACTGTTATTACGCAGTCAACTTTAAAAAGTTAAATAATAATTTCACCTTGTAGCTTTTCAATATACACAGGAATATAATTCTAAATATATGTTTTATTTTGTGTTTTTGTTAGCTGAGAAGCCGCTCTCACGTGGAGTCAGCAAATAACTTACTGTCAATTGTTTGTGAATAGATTGTCATAAAAATAGATTTATTCTTGTCCTTATAGCCTATGGTTATATGAAGTTTCTTGATAGAAGCATTTATTTCATTATCTACCTTGCGTTAGCACGCGCGCGCACTCACTCGCACGGATACACATTTACACGCATACACATTTACATATACACACATTTGCACACACCTCATCAAATGTTCATTGTAAGCAATTTTTAAAAAAAATTGTTTTAATTTTATTTAATCATGCATTGATGGTCTTGTTGATTTGTCGTTGTTAATTGTAATTTTAAAATTACCATAATTGTTTTTGTACTAAACCTTATAACAAATGAAAATGACGTATGTGATAAATAATATTGAATCAAACACTAGTAGTGAATAAAGCTATATAATACAAGATTGTGTTATCTGAAGAAATGTTGAGTTGTTCTTTACTTCACAAAACATAGGTAGGCTTAAACCAATGTTTCCCAAATTCTTTGGCATGCTATTTTTAAATAATAATTAAGAGAATATATTTCTTTTAATTTACTCAGTACAAAATTATTTAAATGAGCATTACGGATGCCCTTATTGGTCTATTTAAACAGGAGCGATAAGTCAGAAAAAAGGTTTTAATGTTTGCATATTTTTCACACTTCAACTCATGCTAGTTACTGTAGAACAATCACTGCCGCAGTACATCTGTAATTATTTATTTTTTATTTTTTTTTTGTAGTTTTATAAAACTTCTAGTTTATCAAGGTGCAAAAACGTAATTTTTTTTTTAAAAATCGAATTTAGCGTGAACCACAGCTCACCAGACCATGTAGGGGTGGGGTGGTAGGGAGCGCGCTTACAGCTTGTTTTCTAGCGTCTCCCAGAAGAGAATTATATATATAGATGCTCGAAATAACCATTTTTCCCTTTCGTTATAGTTTCCAAATTTGTGGCAAAGAATAAGTCCTTTATAAATTTTAGCATGTTTTAAGAACCAAACATATGCTAATAGCAAAGCTTCATTTCCTGGTTTCATTTCCTCGTTTATTTTTGTCTATTATTCACGTTCCCTCAAGGCGTCATCGTTTAGTTATGGTAAATCAAGGACAAATTGTGTCACATGTTCCTCGCATAAACCAACACATTAGCAATCTAGATGAGGTCGAATAATTAGAAATCATCACGACATCAAGAAGGATCAATTTTAAGATGGTAAAAGCAATATGAAACGCTAAAACTACCAATAAAACGGTGTGTGCGTGTAATAACTCAATATGTTCAAGGGAACTAAGTATAGTGTTACTGTTAAGTTTGCGAGTCCTGAAGAAATGTTGTACCTTTTAAACTGTGCTCCTATAATGAGATCTGAACATCAATGGAGTAGAAACAACAAATAATTTTCTTGATTTCAAATTTGTCATTTATATTATTTTACTCCTTTATCAAAATTTGTGTAAAAAACATCGATTTTACGCGAATCAGGTAGCAAGGCCAAATTAAACGTGATCACTTGTGTTAATTGCTATCGTCATTTGCATTATGTAAATGTAATTGAGTGGTGGAGAGTAGCTGAAAAACTAGAAAAGCCAGTTCTAACAATGACGACTATTAAGTGGGCTGTTTTTATATCTCTTGTCCAATTATCCCAGCAAGCAATTGTTGACAGATTCTATCCCGAGTATGATTATATCATAGGTAAGTTTTATTTTACACGCGCATTTTTTATTCTATAAAACATTATTATAAATTGAGAAAAGGAGAGAAATGGGAAGTTTCACAATGAAATGTGCCCAGTTGACTTTGAGGCACCAGATGCATTTAGTAGATGAGTACTGCTGATGATAAAATAACAGAATTTCTCCATTATCCAAACATAAAAAATATCAAATCATTTTTTAATGAAGATAAATAAAAACATTACGCTCGTACGTCGTATTTTCAAAGGGTCTATTACTAATTCCAGAAAGACACTTGTCCAAATGTGACAAATACCCGAAATCAAAATGCCCGAATATCAGGAAAAGTGTCTTTTGGGAATACCCCCAGTTCCTATTTCAAACGAATAAGCGCTTTCTGTATAAAATGGTCACTGTATTTCTAATACCAACTTTGCTTTAAGAAATAAATGATGTATACTTTAACAACATTATATCCCAGCTAAATAGTTCCCTATGTTTTAGTTGGAGGAGGGTCTGCAGGTTGCGTGTTGGCCGGCAGGTTGTCTGAAGATGCAGGCGTCACTGTGTTGTTGTTGGAAGCTGGAGGTAATGATGCGGGGAACCCTAATATCACAATACCTGGGCTGGCACCTCTAAATGTGAGAACAAATGTGGACTGGGGATATTACACAGAGCCTCAGCCTGGAGTCTTGGGAGGATTTGAAAACAAAGTACGTACATTTTACATTAATCATTTAATATTTAAATATGGTACTATTTACAATAATAGTTTTAATCTAAACTGATTACATAATCATTGCCTTTTACTAACAACAGCGATCCTACTGGGCCATGGGCAAAGTTTTAGGTGGTGGTAGTAGTATTAATTATATGGTGTGGGCTCGTGGTTCCAGACACGACTACAACAGGTGGGCTGATTACCTGGGAACCACTGACTGGGACTACAGACACGTCTTGCCTTACTTCAAGAAATCTGAGGACATGTTGATTCCCGAACTCAGAAATTCCAGTAAGTTAAACATCTTAATCGATATGATCGAAAATAGTGGGCTTTTTGACAGTAATTGTTTTTTTTTACTAATGTGCAATATAATTAAATTATTTCATGATTGAAAAGAAATTTTTTGACACGCTATATATGGCATAAGCTTTTGCGTAGAGCTAAGAAATCCAATTATACTTTCACAAATTTCAGCTCGTTTAAAATAACAATTAAACCACAATGTTTAGTTTAACATCTTAAACTCTGAAATTCTGAAAGTTAAGTAAAGTCCACTTTTCAAAACTGACGGTCCATGGGGTAAGTGAAGAAAAGTTTACCTGTTTCTGTGACCTCGATAAATGAAGGAAAAGCGTGGTATGCTCAGGTGTCATTACGTTCCATAGCGTTAGTTAGGTACCCAATAGACATGGGTGGACTCACTGATGTTTCTACTGACTTGAAAACAGATATGAACTCGAGGTTTTCGGATTACCAGACTAGCTCTATTTATTATAAAATATTCTGCTTCTCTTTAATGTTATTGATTTTTTTAAAAGTTTGCATTATTTTTCCACAGATTATCATTCCCAAAAAGGTCCCGTACCTTTGTCTCGCTTTGTGAACCAGCCAATCGTTGAGAAGATGATAGAAGCAGCACAAACTATTGGTTACCCCTTCAATCTGGACTACAACGGAGAAACCACGAACGGTAACCTGATGGTTGTTCTTTTATTATCATTAAATTCAAACTAACTCTATTTACATTTAATCAAACACTTTAGGCACACTTTAGGGGGTCGGCGTGGTCGAGTCAGTAAAGCTCATGGTTGCTAAACCGAAAAGTCTCGAGTTCGAACCCTCGGGCAGATGAGGCTCGTTAGCTGGGAACAGCCACTCTTCTAGGACACACAACTCCAAAATTAAACAACTGCTGGCTTGTAGTTTGTTCTTGGTTGGACAAAGGCTATGGAAGCAAATCCAAAAAGAAAAGCAGGCTGAAATCGGAGTCAATGGCCTCAATGGCGCATAACCAGTTGACACGTAACGCTTAATTGTGTTGGAGGCGTGGACGAGTCAGCAAAAAGCTCATGGTTGAAGAATTCGAACAAAGTCTCAACCACTGGCAGATAAATCTCGATCCCCTTCAACACTAATAATTAAGAACGAAGAAGAAGAAGAAGAAAGAGGCACACTAAATATGGGAAATAAATTTACACTTGCAAAACGAATAGTCGTTTGAATAATTTTATTTCAGAATATATCTAAAATACATGAATCTAGAAAATATCATCTTTTTCTTTTTGGCCAAAGACACAAGGGGGCCGCATAGAAAGTATGCTAATTAATTATGTTAAGTATTTGTGAATTTTCAAATAAATGTTAGGTATAAATTTTTCTGAAGAATAAATGCCATCTTCTTTCCAGGCAGACAAAAGATAATATTTTGTTCAATTATAACATTATAGCAACATCTGTTACCACAGCATACGTGTCAATACATCGGTAATTCCTTCGCTCAATAAACATACACCCTTCAAAAAATGACATTTATGATAGTCTCGATACCCATAAACCTCAGAAAAAATATTAATATTTTAACCGGATTATTGATTTTAATTCATTTTTTTTAAACAAGCCGCTGTTACGTCCGGGTTCGATTCAACTCAACAACGATTCGTGACACATATAGTATACTTTTATTCAGTTTCACGTTCAACGTTACAGGGTCGCCATCGCCCTAACCGCTACCAACTAACCCCTTACAACCGTTCACTCCTGCTTTTATACCGCATGCTACCTTGGGAAAACAATATGTAAACACACCGGGGTTAACAATACTCTAGGGTAAACTCAACTCACGCACGCACTCTCCCCTAATTCTAGATTATTCTAACCTATTTTTATCTAACCTACAACTGACGTGTAACCGCCGCTCCTTAGATTGTAACATCAGTAGTAACAAGTAGTTATTTATATCTCATTACATACCATTATTATTAATGTCACCTACGTGTGTAGGACAAAAATCCTGAGGTCGTGTTTAATGGGATCATAGTCAGAGCACCTCCCTGTCCACCCAAGTCTGAAGGGCACTCGTCTTACGCTAGGGAAAGTAAAGGCTGCTGGGTATAGTGATGACCACACTATCCACGTAATATGCCCAATGGGCCGCCAGGTTCGAAAAGGGAACTTTACTTGTACTGACTATACTTACTCTACACAGGTATTGCCTATACACAGGCGAACGTAAAGAACAGCCAGAGGTGGTCAACAAGTAGAGCGTATGTCCATGCAGTTCTTGGCAGGCCAAATCTCCACGTGTCTTTGAATTCCGTCGTTACGAAAGTATGAACAATACATTAAAAATTACATTTTCCTTTTTGCCATCGCTATAACCTTTTTATATGACTTTGACCAAATAATGTTTCCATTACAGTAAAATAATTAGTTGTGGGTAGCATTGCAAAAATAATTTTACTTTACTTAACATTTACTAGTTTTCTATTAAATTAAAATACCTATGTAGATATGACATAAAAACTTTTTTTTTTTACTTTCCACGTCGATTTACACCTCAACGAGAAGGAACAAACTTAGCTTTGCAGTTTTGTCCATATATCTGTGTTTGTGTCTGTGTGGATGTGTGTCTGTGGACAAGACATCTTAAGTACCGTTACAGCTAGTTTGATGAAATTTCATATATAATTATTATATCATGTAATTCTGTCTCAACTTTTCAGCGATTTCTGGTAACTTGAAGTGGAACTCATTCTAATTTAGGTTTTTCAGAAGCCTATAAATTGAGTGCTGTTTCAGATAGATAGACGAAATTTCACATTTAAGTCAAAGATCTAATGCTCTGCCTTCTTTCAAATTTTAAATAATTTCCGATTTCTCAAAAAGAATATGAATTTATCAAGTACTAGCCGTCCCGGTCAGGCCCTGCGCTGGCCTGTGTGAAAAACATATATGTAAAGGACCATGACATGTGTGTTTTGTAATCAGCATATATCCGGCATTGTCAAGTCTAACCACAACCAACCAAAACCAAAACACAAAAAAACGCAAACATAAAAAACACAAATACAAACAAAAACAAAAACACAAACGCAAACACAAACACCACTACGAATCATAAACGTTCGTATTGTTATCGGTACCAGATGTACGAACATGTTGTTTAATGACTAGTGTGCCGAACAAAACAAAATATAAATGGAATGATCTTATATTAATGTGGTTTCAATTAATCACAATGCAGCTCATTTTTAGTCTATTGTTCTTCAGTTAACAGAATTTCTTTTTTCTTTTTTAAATCTTGAATTTAGACGATGAGCACTTTAGACTTTGGAATCCTCAGTTTGCCCGCCACATACAGAATTGAACTATATATTTATAGACTAATATTCCGCACTATTATACATACATAGTTTGCTGTTCACTTGGTGCACAATTCTTTTGTCTAAAAGATGCTCTTTTACACCGCGCGTTTAATAGTGCATGATAGTATTAGTAGAACACCCTACTAATTTAAGAACCGATATATTAGAACTGCTCGAAATTTCGCTCTTCCGTTACTATCTATGCGGACATGACGAGGGAGAAAGTTAAATAAAGTCTTGTTAAAACAGTTTACATTTTGCTCTCACATTATTAATCAATCTAAAATTACTTATCTAGTTAATAATAGAACAGACTACAGCACGGGGAGCTGTGTTCGTCAAAGGAGGTTACGAGTACTCTATCAGAGCCAGGCGTGAGGTCATCCTGTCTGCTGGTACCGTCGGTTCTCCAAGGATTCTCATGTTGTCTGGGGTCGGCCCTAGGAAACAGCTAGAATGTTTAAAGGTTTCTCTTTCATTCATTAGCACTGGTTACAATTAAACAAATAATGTTCAGTTTTTATCCTAAGTATTTAAGTTAACACATTTTTAACAAGCTCAATTTTTGTATAAAAATGTATCACTTAATACAACTTTGTCAACTACTTATTGCAGATAAAATTGCAAGCTGATCTACCAGTAGGAGAAAACGTACAAAATCACCTGTTTTTTGAAGTAGGTGTTAAGATTAATAAACCCCTAAGTGTTGATCCCTTAAGCCTTGCGTCGCCACAGGTTTTAGAACAGTACCGGGTTAACGGTTCAGGTAATCATGCTTTTCTAATAGCATCTACATTATAAATCGAAATTGATTAAAATGTCAAGTATATGAAATCCTAAAGTTTTGACTATATATATATACATATATACATAAATATATATATATATATATATATATATATATATATATATATATATATATATATATATATATATATATATATATATATATATATAATTTAGTTAGTTACTTATTTATTTGTTTCTGTAGTTAATAAATTAATTGTTTATTAATTAATTAATTAATTAATTAATTTTTTTTCATTTATTTTATTATATATCTGTTTTTATTTATTTATGTAAGTTGTTTAACGTTTAATTTTTTAGAAATCGGAAAATTAGCTCGAAATCAATCAACCCGAAAGTAGATTTTCCAAAACGTTAATTGCTTTTTTAATTAGCTAAATTAGTAATGTCTGCACAGCTAACGCCTGTAGATGTATAGGGAAGCATATACAAATTGCACTCTTATCTTTTAGCAGCTACCACTGATATTAAGTAGTCTGTACACGGCTACTCAATCTCCAATTCGCTTCGCAGGTCCTTTAGCGTCATCATTGGGAGAAAATCTGGCATATACAAGTACAACTGCTTGGTCGAAGGGAAAAGATTGGCCGGATCTACTTCTTTTATTTTTAAGTCTTCTACCCAAAACTAGAGATAACTCTTTTGGATACAACAGTCAAGTAAGTGTCAGTCGGTTTATTGCATATAAATATATGAAAACACCATTAGCAAAGGTCGGGGGGTCGGCATGGTAGAGTCCTTAAAGCTTGCGGCTTCTAAACCAGGCAGATGAGGCTCTTTAGCTGGGGACAGTAATTTATCTAGGAGAGAAAAACCCGAAGTCAAACAACTGCTGCCTTGTAGATTGTTCGTAGTTGGACAAACGATATGGAAGCAAATCCAAAAAGAAAAGCAGGGCTACTATGGCGCATAACTATTTGACACGTATACTTAATTGTGTTGGCGGGAATCTCTTCCAACGCCAGAATTAATAACGAAGAAGAAGAAAGAAGAAGTTCTTATAGTATTATCTTTGAATAGTTCCCAAGTTAGGCTAATTAAGTTTCGCGATGTACGACCAATTTATACACCCCAAAGTTTTTATGTGGTTGGTATTTATCTAATATGTGTAAAATGTTCACCTTTCAGGTCAGGTTTGATTTGCGCAAGAGAGACTTAGCCTCGTTCGGGTTTACTTGTCTTCCTGCTCTGATACGGCCGACCAGCAGAGGACGAATTACCTTACGGTCAACAAATCCTTTTGTCTACCCCAAGATCGAGGCTAACATATTAAATACACAAGAGGACTTACAAATTTTAATTAAAGGTAGATTTTATAGTGTCAGGATTGTCAAAAAAGCGGGATTTTAAAATTTATATTATTTTTATGAATGCGTAGTTTGTATATTCTTTATTTAAAATTTCTGTAAGTTAATCGTAATAATTAGTCTTTTCGGGTATTGTTTTTTTTGCAGTTATAACAGAATAGTTCTCTTTTTTTCAAAAAATGATCCTGGTATATGACAACCAATACGAGCCAAACTAATGATCAGGTCTTACAAATATGTAGTTCTTAGTGACAGACACAACGAAATTGGAATATCAGGTTTAGATAATAAATTATTGTCTTTCTAAAGATTTCTCATTAGGTTTTTTGTATCAAATGTATTGTATAATAGCAAAGATAGAATGATATTTCGAAACAAAATTAAGAACGGATACAATTATAAAGAGAAGCAGAAATAAACTATACTAAGTCGTGTCCTGATTCATAGGTATTCGTGAATGTGAGAAACTAGTCACCACCCCAACAATGAAAGCAATCGGTGCTGAGTTGACTGAGGACACGCCAGCCTCGCAATGTGCACAATTCAGGTTCAGATCCGACAAGTACTGGGAGTGTCTGGTCAAGCTGAGGGTTATCTCGGCATATCACGCTGTTGGGAGCTGCAAGATGGGACCACAAGGAGACCCGACGGCTGTGGTGGATGAGAAACTGAGGTAAATAACACCCGGTTTTGTGGGTGACTTATATTATGTATATCACGTATGTGGATAAGACGTGTATTTTACATTTACGTTATACATGGCATACATGTATATATACATGTATATATATATATATAATTATATATATATATATATATATATATATATATATATATATATATATATATATATATATATATATATATGACACTTATATTGTTACATAACGTGTTGTAGAATATACTGGTTCATATAACAGAACGGAAGTGATAAATTAAGTATATATACATACGATTTATCATTTTGCATGTAACTGTAAAGTTTACTAAGACACCACAGCAAACTATTCTTAGGTTCATAAAAACATTACATTGCTGAAAAAATGTTTTGAGATAAAACTATAGTTCAGACAACTGTTGAATATTGTTTTATAACCATGTTTCAGGGTTCGTGGTATATCCGGCCTCCGTGTGGTAGACGCCTCTGTAATGCCATGGATTGTGTCAGGGAACACAAATGCTCCTGTTGTTATGATAGCTGAGAAGGCAGCGGACATGATTAAAGGGAAGAAACTACTGCCTTCCAGAAAACTTGAAAGATGTTAATATAACACAGTTATCTCTTGTATAACTATAAACACGACATAGATTAGCTTTACTTTTTAATTATTTTTAATCTTCGTAGTAGATGTAACATTAAAGCGACTACAGACAGACGAAATTATTTTGTTTATTTTACAAACGATTGTTTAATACTAAGCTCATTAAAATTGACGTAACGATACGTGTTTTTAATTTTTTTATAGTAATATTGTTTCTGTAGATTGAAGCCAATGAGTAATACATATTTCAAAAAAAAGTACCAAGTAGTTAGTTAATTACTGAATTTAGATACATATAAAAATCATATATTAAAAAATAAAAATTACATCTATACTAAATCTGTATCTCGGTAATAGAGATGTGAACACGTGCAGATTTTAGTATACTGATGTGTTTTCTAATGGAAGCTTATGTCGGTAGACGTCTCTGACCGGAGTCAAATTAGTGACGTTCACTTAGGTATGATATAAGCCCGAGTATCAAGAAGCCATGAACATTCTAACATTTTAAAAGATACTGTGGCCGCCGTGACTGTGGTGGTTAGCGGCACCGTTCTCGTATCGGCGTTTTCATGTCAGAGTTTGTAAGGCATAAAGATGAGTGGGTCACCACTTACATCAATTTATTTTACTACGTGCCTGTTATAAAGATTTGTATTAATTACTTTAACGCTTTGGTAAATACTTAAGTGGTTTTTATTGCGGTGAGTCTAATTCTCGCTAAAGTAGAGCCTCTGTAGCGTTGCGACATTTCCCACCAGCCATCCCCCATCATAAAACAGCTTGATCGTTACTGCATCTATTGACGTAATCTAGTACAACTCTGTCTCTCATATGATACATTGCCTAGTGTAACCTGAGTACTTGGAAGATTGACACGTCCCAGATTACTTAAATTGTCGAGATTTGTTTTCTCTGTCCTGTCTATCTGATCTCTGTGTTATGTCCTGAATGTCTTAGCTGTCTTGTCAGTGTAGCCGCCTGTCGGTCTTTTATTATGTCTGTGCGACCTTCTAATTGTCCTTCCGTCCGTCCTCATGTCCGTCTTTTTGTCCGTCTGTCTGTCTATGTGACCTTGTGCCTGTTTTCCTGGCTGCATATGCCAGTGTGTATGTGTATGTTATAAAATAAGGGGCAATGCGTGTAACAGTGTAAAATTCTTATCTCGGCCATCTTGATCCAGCAGACCGTTTTAAAGCATGTAGCGTGTCAAGCAGCCTTTTTTTAACATACCCAAATGTTCATTTCAAATCTACCTGAGAGTGGCCATACAAAAACTGTTTCGTGATCGTCTGGATCCACATGAGTGACTTAAATAAAAGGTCAAAGAACGTCTGGAATATTTTGTTTTCAAAAGACGTAATAAAACGTATATAACCTTGTCTAGCTATAAATATCAACATCATATGAGAGACAACATTCTATAACTATAGCCTTAATCAGAAAACGACTTATCTTATCAAAGTTGTTTTATTTGCTTTTTTATTCTGCTATCTTAAGTCAACTGGAGATTTTAAAATGACACTGCCATAATATACATGGTTTCAGCATTAGAAAACCTACTATTAAAATAAAAGATATCAATAAGTATAAGCCTATATAGCCGGGTGTTGCTTTTAATATGTGGAAAAATTGTGAAATCCTCTTACATTAAGATTCAGACTAACCCAAATTTTCAACACACCAAACAGCGCGGTTTTACTTAAAGTAGTATAGGCCTGTAGGTAAAAGTAAAGAAGGAAGAGCAGGAATTTATCCTAATTGCATTCAAACCTTTAGGTTTGGTGGTTTTGCCAATACGTATTGCCATTTATACATCGTTTCAGGAACAATGCCGAAGTCACAGAAATAGGTGAACTCTACTTCACTTTACTTAAAAAAAGAATGTCTGGATATAGAAATAAACAAAATATTATTATGTATTGGTGTAAAAGAAATTCTGTTTGGATAATGATATGACTACTTACAGTTACTGTTAAGTTACTGATACAAGAAAAGTCTGCCGAAAGTTATTTTCACTAAAAAAGATATCATCTTTTATGAATCAAATAGATTTGATAATCCATACAGAGAACACAGTCTTGTTCAAATATAATGACTGCAACTTCCAAAATTGTATCTTAATGATTTGTAATTTAAACTAATTCACATCACAAGTGCGGACAGAAAACACAAACACTGTTCCCTACATGGATTGCTGCCATCCCAAGACTTATACCTGATTGGATGTCTCACCCAGAGCTAGTACAGCCAATAACTCGACTCACTCTACCTGTGGATGAAGAGTTAAAAAGCTTTGTGCCACTTTTTTCATTTCATTTTAGTTTTGTTGTATGGCATCATAGCGTTAAGTTTAGTGTAAGGATTTGATACTGTCGGGCTATGAAGACATATGTTTGAATTGTGTATGGTACTCCTAAGCAACCAGCCTAGTTATATCTAAATAATACCATTTTTTTTGTATTCGAAATGGTATTTTATTGCATATATCCAGCATGATTTTTCAAACCCTGCAAAATTTTATGCTGGAAACTTCAACATGGAGGGTACATGTTATTCATTGTTGGCCATGGTTTTTTTTTCCTTTGCTTGTTCACCACTGAACAGTAGATATTTTTTCTCAGAAAGCATAAATTTAATGCTAGACCACCCACCCAGTCTACACCCTATCCCAACACATTACCAACCTGAAGGCGTAGCCCTAATACATTCTTTCAATAGAAATATTGTTTTACCAAAATGGATGGAGAATCGGGTTACAAGATTTACCGAGAAAAACGGATTAGTTTTGTTAGGAATAAGTAATTCTTAATTTAAAACACTGGAGCAATGAACATAACTATTTTGTGTCGTGTCGAGACAGATATGGGTAAACCTAACCACCCCAGCCTTGTAAAACCTAACCACCCTAGCCCAGTACAACCTAACCACCCTATCCCAGTACAACCTAACCACCCTTTCCCAGTAAAAAAATAACCACCCTAGCCAAGTAATAACTAACCAATCCCAATTGGTGACTCCCTACCATCCCAAGCAAGTTAACTCTGACCGCAGAGGACCAGTAAACCCAATAAACCCTACGTATGTAAACGCAATAAACCCTACACCAGTAAACGCAATAAACCCTACACCTGTAAACGAAATAAACCCTACACCAGCAAACGCAATAAATCCTACACCAGTAAACACAATAAACGATACACTAGTAAACGAAGTACACCCTACACCATTATACCCTAACCACACTAGGCTAGTAAACCATAACCGTCATACGCCAGCACACCCTAACAACCCAACCCAAATGAACAACTCCAACCTTGTACAACCACGTCCCATTCAATGTCATTTATCTGGTGTAGTTAGGCACCAACTATCCTTCACAGTTCAATACCCTTAAGGACCGTCTGCCTAGTTTGCTTGCCCTATTTGCCTATGTGACTGTGCGTCTGTGCGTGCAGAAAAAAAATTAACAGTCATAACAAGTCATGCATTCAATCCTGACCGAATTGCTGCACTTGAACGACTATGTAACCTTATTTATTTTGCAGCATACCCAACGCACCAAAGTATTAATGTCAATATCGGAAGAGAGAAACTTTACAGAGGGTTATTTCTTGCCGTCTTGATCCGCTTCAACGCTTTCATACATGCTACCTTACCTGCCTTGCGGCATATTACACACATCATGACATTAATATCAACACAGTCTGAGCCATATGTAAAAAAAAAATTTGCTGGCCCGTCGCAATCCGCTAGCGAGACGTCATTACAATATCAATGGCGTCTGCAACAAAAAAGACATTCCCGTCATGCAACGTTTCTAAAGTAGCCGGACTATTTATATCAACGTTACGTCAGAGAAATCATGACCAGGTTGCACCGTCAGTCAGACAACATGGCGGCTACTGTCAAAGTGGTTTTACTGGCCATCTCATTCAGCTGTCTAGTGTCCACTGGGAGTTTGGTTGATGCAGCTTTCGTGGAGACTCCAGAACCAGCCTATGATTATATCATTGGTATGTACTGCACGTTTTCTATATAACTTTTAGATATGTACCATATTCTATAATGTTATATGACTTTATAACATAATCACATCGTTTATAAAACACAACATATGAATAGAAAACAGAGATATGATTGTACACCAAGTATATTATTAACAGTGGCGTGCGTTGAATTATCCCACCGGGCACCAACAAGAGGCCTAGTGGTAGAGTGTTAGCCTGCTACCTCGCAAGTCTCGAGTTCGAATCCGAGTTCAAGTTAGTATAACGTCACTGATTCCACCCAACTCTAATGGGTACTCAACTCACGTTAGTGAGGGTAAATGAGATGGGCATATTGCTTAGCCAATTATCCCTTACTGTGCCGACTTCAAGATACTCTACTTCATCTGCCCAATGGGTTGTTAGGGGAAAGAGAAATCTTTACTTGACCAGCAAGTGGTAAAGAAACAAAAATTACAGCGACAAAAATAGGCTCCGAACATGCAACGGACATAGTATCTATCTCCACTCGGCCATGAGTTCACCAGTGTTTCTTCCAGACGTTTTTTTTTCCGGGGGGGGGGGCATTTGAAATTTTCGTGGGAGGCGGACTGAAATTTTCGGGGTTGGGGGGCTGTACACTGTAAAAAGTATATATTTTCTATATAAATTCAATTTCGTTGGGGGGCGATAGACTTTCTTCGGTGGGGGGGGGGGCGGAGCCACCCCGAAGAGATGCCTGGATGAAACTCTGGTGTTCACTCAACTATTTGGAAATAAAATAGTATTTAAGAATCGTGTTAGGGTTATTTAAGAATCTTACTGAAACAGCCTAGTCCCAGAAGTCCTAGGTCCGCTTCCTACTGCCAATCATAACTTGGTAGGTCTAACTTTTATCTGTTTTTCTTCCTCGTACACCCAAACACACTTCTTACGATGTCCTTGATAAATGCTGCTATGGATCTTGATCAAACGATATTAAACAAATAACAAAAAGAAGCAAGCGAAATTGTGTTTTGCATGATTGTCTTCAATTGCCGCTATTCGTCATCGGGGTGGGCTGTTGACCGTGCTACAAATCAAGCAAACAACTTACCACTGAATCTTCTAATGTTATAAAACACACTGAAAACAGAACTAGGTCTAGATGTGTATAATGAGAATGGATGTTTAAAAAGAATTCCTTGCCTAAGTTGTTTTTTTTTTAGTAGGAAAAATGCTATAATTCAAGTGTTGTTGATTTCAAACTTGTATGGTATTATTTGAAAAGGAAACAAAGTTAGCATCAGATTTTTTTTTCTAGAGACATGGAAATTTCCCGTTTCCGTTAGTGCACCCTCTCCCTCCGCTTCCAATTAATCAGACATGCCTCAACATGTTAAAGGCCGACAGAGATCTCCATATCTTGTGTAATGTCTGCATAGAAGTATAACACCGATTAAAAATATTACATCTCAGAACACATTACAAATTTAATATTTCCAAAATTTAAATTAATGCAAAAACGTTTTAACCCATTGGTGGTTTTGTGCAGAACATAAAATTTGTGATTGAAAACACATTTTCATTGATTGCACTTAAATACTCTTTTATTTTATTAATTCCAAGTTGGAGGAGGGACTGCAGGCTGCGTGTTGGCCGGCCGGTTGTCTGAAGATGATAACGTCACTGTGTTGTTACTGGAAGCAGGCGGTACTGACGCGGGGAACCAAAATATCCTAACCCCGGGCCTAGCACTTCTCAGCTTACGAAGTGACATAGACTGGGTTTATTACACAGAGCCTCAACCTGGCGTCATGGAAGGATTTGAAAACAATGTGTGTTAACCGCATTAAATGATGTCCAATTATTTTAAATATATAAGTTTAACAACAGTAGTACATATTTTAGAAGTTGTAGATGTATAACATACACACCCAGAGAAATTTAAAGACAGTAGTATTAGATTTTTTAAAATTATATATGTGTAATATATAAATAATATCTATAATGTATATAATGGGTGTGGTTGTGTGTGTGTGTATTTATTTAACTTTTTTTCAACGATAAAGTATAACATATAATTATTTTGCAATTTTTTTTTTATAACAGAGGTCGTATTGGCCAAGAGGAAAAGTTTTGGGTGGTAGTGACAGTATCAGCATAATGCAGTGGGTCCGAGGCTCCAGACACGACTACAACAGGTGGGCTGATTACCTGGGAACCAGTGACTGGGACTACAGACACGTCTTGCCTTACTTCAAGAAATCTGAGGACATGTTGATTCCTGAACTTAGAAATTCAGGTGAACAAAATATCAAGCCATCCATTTCATTCAGCAGTTTTAAATGGCTTAAAGATGTTACTTAAAAAATAAACGCTATTTTTTAACACTCTATGCTTGTTGTGATGAACTTTGTGTAAGTAATTTTTTTTTAAATTAATGCATCTCTGCAATATCACAAAGTCATGTATGAAAACATTATCTTTAACTTATCTTAACTTAATTATTGTTTATTAAAGTCACTTTAAATTTTCCACTGAATGATACCTATCTACATGTTGTGTTTTAATGTTAGGCTACCACAACCAAAACGGCCCTATACCTGTCTCCAGATTTGACACCCAGCCTATCGTGGAGGAGATTATCGACGCTGCCAGCACTGTTGGCTACCCTTATAACCAGGACTACAATGGTGAAAGTATGATAGGTAGGAACAACATTACGTTGATTCTATAATAAATAGATTGCCATTTACACAAACCAGTTTGGTAAAAGTATGATAGGTAGGAACAACATTACGTTGATTCTATAATAAATAGATTGCCATTTACACAAACCAGTATCACACTTGCATCCTTTAATTGTGACCTATATTCTTGCTGGAGTAAGAGCAATCTTTATAAGCGCGTTTGGAATGCGGCTATTCTCTCGCGAGTTGGTTATCATTTGATACTTGTTAGTCGTCATTCGTTTTGAGACCTCACCCCAGAATCCCAGGAGTCAATCTTCTTCTTCTTCTTCTTCGTTCTTAATTTTTGAATATGGTGGAGGATTCAGATAACAAGTCCAACTTCGTGGACAAACCGGACTGTGGTTCAATCTAATAACGCATAAGTAATATTGTTAGTTATAACGAATCAATGCCGAGTTGGGTTCAGATTCTATCTTTTTAACAGTTGTGTGCGTACAATATTTTTGATTCCTCTCATTAGTGTGGTAAAATTACGCTGAAAGTTTATAATACTCCTTGTAGTAAAACAAATTTAAATATTTTATTCTGTAATGCTTATTTTAAGTATTAGAGTAATATTTTATACGAGCTGACGCGCGACGTAGCATACTCCGCTATTTAGTTTTTTTTTTCCTATTTGTCATATTTTGTTCATTTGACACCACCAATGCTGCGACTGAAAATATTTTGCTTTAAACACTACCAGTAGCTAGTGAAGGGCGATTATCCACAACCTCACTTTCCAATCGTCTCCCCCCTCCCCCTGAAAGCAGCCATCCGGGACGACAGTTTACAGACGACAATGAAAAGATCAAGCAGAACGTGTTTTTATCTCCCCTTAGTTTCTAATCATTTAAAAACTAAATTATCTGCCCCTATTAGCCGTCATTAATTTGACCCGATAGTAAACAGCTCACCAGTCTCGTGGGGGTTGGGGTGATAACGATATGGTCTGTTGAGCTTACGTCTTGGTGGTGTCTCGCACGGTCCCCATGAAGAGAAATATATATATACGAGCCGACCCGCGGCTTATCATACGCCACTATTTAGTTGTTTTATTTACTAATTTTCAGTAATTCATAATTTGTGAATTTGACAGTACCAATGTTGCCACTGAAAATATTTGCTTTAAAACACTATCAGTAGGTCGTTAAGGACGATACTACCCCACCCTCCTTTCCCCCAACCCCTACCCTACACCCCACCCCCCTCCCCTTGAAAGCAACCTCCTCTTAGTTACCTCCCCTAAGTTTCAAATCGTTTCAAACTAAATTATCTGCCCCTAATAGCCGTCACTAATCCCGGCTCTACGATTGTAAACATTTAGCGTGAACCACAGCTCACCAGACCATGTAGGGGTGGGGTGGTAGGGAGCGCGCTTACAGCTTGTTTTCTAGCGTCTCCAAAAAGAGAATTATATATATATATAGTTAGATAGATCTTTCTACTTTAGTTATTCTTAAAGGGTAAAGATCGCTAACGACTTGTTAAGATTTTAATGAGCGATGTAAAACCGAATATGGACTTATTACTGTGTGTTCAGGCTTGTTATTTAACTGACAATTACTTAGCCGTTCAGATTCATAACTTTTTACTTTCAAAACAATCTTTGAAATTTTCTTACTGCTGTTCTGTTCACCTACACAGGCGTATCATACAGCCAGGTCAACAGTAAAAACAGTCAGAGATGGTCAACAAGTAGAGCGTATCTCCATCCAGTTATCGACAGGTCGAACCTCCATGTAACGCTGAATGCCGCCGTCACGAAAGTAAGCAAAGATTTCTACAACTTCCTCTTTTAAAATGAAATTAGCACTCTAAAAATAGAGCAAGCATACAACAAAATGCGTACGGTATGGAATGTGAAGTGTAAATTGTATCCGTTATTACTTTCTCGTATAGAGAAAGTCTTGTAATCGTTTTACACCTCACTGATACGGAAAAACATAATTTTGCAATCTTGTCCGTATGCCTGTGTGTCTGTCTGTCTGTCTGTGTGTAAACACGATGACTTGAGAACCGTAACAGCTAGGTCGATGAAATTTCCTATATAAGTATTTTATCAAAATCGTAGATCATGATCAACTTTTGAGCGATTTCCGACAACCGGAAGTGGTACTTTTTCTACTTTGAATTTTTCAAAAGCCTATAACTTGAGTACTATTTCAGATAGATAAATGAAATTTCACAAGTAAGTAAAAGATCTAATTCTCTGCCTTCTGTCAAATTTTGAGTAATTTTCGTTGACCGGTAGTACTAATTTACGCTATTTTCGATTTCTCAAAAACGCATGTAAATTTATAAAGTACTAATAATATTGCGCACTATTATGCACATTTTGTTTTGTCGTTCGCTTGGTGCGCATTTCTTTTTTCTATGAGATTCTATTCTATTTTTAAAAGTTTGTAATTAAAATTCATGTCTATATTTCAGTTATATAAGAATATTCGAGAACGTTTAGGGGAGATCACTCCCGGTTTATTTTTTTACAGTCATTAACCCTATGCTTAGACTAGCAGAAATATTTTTAAAATGCACAGCACATTCGTAAAGTTTATTAAATTTTTTGAAATAATTTAGTAGTATCTGGCGCTGAGTTGCATTTATCTGTCCAATATTGTCTACATGTGTCCAATGTGAATAGAGTTAGACCACGTGACCGGGTTATGATAATCGTTTGCTGCTTCAACTAAATATAAATGACAACTAAGTTCTCTCCCATTATGTCATATAGTATGAGAAAAGATAAAAGAGTCCTCTTCCATTATGACGTCTGACTTTTTCAGCTGCACTGTAAAATCGGCGTATTTGTTTTATCTTATTTAGCCTCTGCAATTATATTTCTAACTTTAATCAAGCTAATTGTATTAATTAAATTAATAATTTATCTCCGTGCCGTCCTTGTGTCTAGATAACGATTAAACAGCAGAGGGCGCAGGGTGTGGTGTTCGTCAAAGGAGGTTACGAGTACACCATCAGAGCCAGACGTGAGGTCATCCTGTCTGCTGGGGTCATCGGCTCTCCGCAGATTCTCATGTTGTCTGGGGTCGGCCCTAGGAAACATCTGGAAAGTTTCAAGGTTCATATTTCTCTAACATTAGTTTTAGTAGCAGAATTTAAGGATAGGCACCACGGATAAAAAAAAATTTATTTAACACATTTCTGGTTGTTTAATAAGTTCATATAATTATAGTTGTTAAACTATAGACAAAAATAATATATAGCCGTCAATAGCAGTACTGGTTGCCATGGAAACAGAGAAAAGGTGTGAAAACTAACACCTTTTCAAATCGCTAAGGCTTTGTTCCCATAAGAGATTTTAAAAAGCGGATGAAAGATTTAGATTTCTCAAACCAAACTATACATTTCTACGTTTACTCATTGCGATAGCTTGTACTCAATTTTTTATACAAATTGTTACGTAAATTTATGTTCAAAAATTAGGGGGTGGTGTTACAAAAATATCAATATTTCCTTAAGTATTGTAGTAAACTTAATGTACAAACGTAGTTTTGTAGATGGTATAATGCTGAACGCACGTGGAATGTTTTATTCTTGTATGACAAAGGGTTCCAAAGCCTTAGCGATTTGAATGTCGAATTTTGAGTAAAAATGCAAAGTTGAGAAAACGTGAAAAGAAGAGCGGGAAAAAGCGCGGTGCGTTTTCTCTTATAGAAAACAGAAAAAAACGTCTTGTTATATGTGGAAGAACCATTTGTCTAATAAAATACGCTTTGATTTATGTTGTAAGCTTTAGATAGATTTTTTCTATGTAAGCAGAAAATATATATACAACAGGTAATGAATGTATGACTATTAAGTATTACACATCCTATCAATCGAGCGGTATTCTCAGAACAGCTATCATCAAACCAGATAAAGTTTTGTTTGTTAGCCGGTCTTCTCACTTCAAAACAATGTCTTTCTCTACTCAAATTGTAGCTTACACAAGTTTATTGCCTTATGATAATAGCCTACAACACAACACTGGGTACAACGCTTGAGGCTAGACACGCCCCTCCGATTGTAGGGGAAAAAAAGTCACAGGAAAAAAAAACACAGGGAAAAAAAACACAGAAAAAAAGTCACAGGAAAAAAAGTCACAGGAAAAAAAGTCACAGGAAAAAAAGTCACAAATATATATTTGCATGGGATTTGTTAATACTTTTATGTATTAAATATTCAGAGAGTGCAAATTAACTTAGGATTAATTAAATGTAATGTAATGTGTGTAGGTTGTATACGCATAGTAATTTTTATAATTCATCTAAAAATATTTAGTATGAATTATGTAGATTGTAATTATGTTAAACATAATATTTATAGCATTGAATAGAATGTCCACGGTTTTCGTGGGTTTTTTTTTAAATTAAATTACCGTGAAATGGTAAGGTCATCTGAATTACTGCCCTCAACTCATCGCAACAATAGTTATGCTTAGTTCAACCACCTTTACTGCCCACATTTATCAAAGGCTGTCATTGACACAAAACGTCAACAACACAAAATATGTTCGGACAATGCCTACTGAGGGAAGGCCGACCAGAGAACAGCCTACGGCAAAACATATGCAAAACACAATGATGTGCCTAAATTTCTTTTATAGTTAACTTTTCTACCGCGTATTTAACTAAATACGTAACAAAAGTTGAGATTGATGTGTAAATTATCTTAGAGTATTTTTACTCACAACTTTTTATAAACCATAATGCTTTTAACGTCTATAAATAATTTATGCTATCAAAAAATACAACCTACAACAATAAACATACAAAATTTTACAATTCTTAACAAATAAATCAAAATATTTCTAAAGAGAATTGTGTGACTTTTTTTCTGTGACTTTATTTCTGTGACTTTTTTTCCGAAAAAAAATTTCCATTGTGACTTTTTTTCCGTGACTTTTTTTCCTAGCAAAAACTGTGAATTTTTTCTGTGCTTTTTTTTTCCTGTGACTTTTTTTCCGTTTACCGCCCCTCCACCCCATCCCACCGCTGGATAGTGCATGAGGAACCGATGAGCCATAGATTACCAATGTTCATTCAACCGCGAATAACACATCTGTGTAGATAGGGTCAAGTACAGGGCCTAAGTAAATGCTTCCCAACTATCCTATCTACTACTATCTAGTATTTACATTCGTTGCTAGCACACCCTATACGGAGAGATGGGCATACACATTAACACATGTGTCGTATACAGTCCGGTGTAAAGCCTGATGAACGCGTTCGAGCCTATCACAGCATGCCGTAACAAGATTATAAACCGGCCGTTGGCTGAATGGCGAGAAGGGAATGAAGGGGGTAAAGGGGATGGGCAGTACATTCTTCAAACTGATAGTCATGTCCATGACGCATTGTTTCAGCTTAGTATAATTTTAAAGCGTACGCAACAGTGTTTAATATTGTTCCAGTGATAATCAACAGTACATTTCTAGGCAAAGTTTCATTTATTAAACTTAATGTTGTTGTATAACTTTAAAACAACAAATAGAAGAGTATACGCAAATGAGGTAAACAAACGAGACAGGCGATTGTTTTGTTTATCTAGAAACAAGATGGCTGCCTAGCACACGTGGTTAGTTGCAGCCTATCGTTAATTATTTTGATTTACTGTACTATAATATGATTGGTCAAGCGTATCAATGAACCTCTTCCCATTCATAAATTTTACGCGCATGCCCTTATATGGAGTTTAATAGAAAATTTTACTTTGTAGAAAACAACTTCTATCTCACTTATTTTTAGAACAAAAGAAAAGGTCACTACACCAGCGGGTACACGAGTGCTTGGCCCTTAGATTGCTGTAAAGTTTATGGTGCCTCGCGGGCCATAAATACATGTGATACCCGCTCGAAGATAGCCACTGTCCGCGTAGTAGTGTGAAAACTTGCCGGGGGGTACCATGTTTCACATCGCAATAAACTAATAACCGTAAGCTGTAGAAGTCCGAAATGTTCGGGTTAGATAGATAAAAGGTATTAGTACCGAATTAAGAAATAAAAATTTTGGGTAGAAAAATTAACATTTTATCGAAAACATGGGTATCTTGTTCCCTTAATTTACAATAAGAAAATTAAAACTTTCTTTAGTTAAAGAAAATTTAGAAAATTATCTTGTTGAAGTTACTTATATCCTTGTACAAAGTTAACTTCTAAAACTAAAAGAATAAAACTATTTACCTTAGATACCTGTACTAGCTGACCTACCTGTTGGAGAAAATCTGCAAGATCACATGACCTTTGACGTGGGTGTTAAAATAAATGAATCGTTAAGTGTTAATCCATCGAGTCTAGGCTCCCCAATGAACATTCAACAATACTTTACCAACGGCACAGGTAGCTTTCATGTTCATTTTGCAACAAGAAAATTGTATTGGACTATGTTAGAATTTTCATGGAATTTATTTAAACTTATAAATTGGATTACATTTTTTTATCACAGAACAACTTTTTTAAGAAAAAACAATCTGGGAATTTGTTTAAACTTATAAAGTGGATTACACTTTCTTATGACAGAACAACATGTTTAACAAATGCAAGAACAATAAGGTGTTTCAATTGAAATATACCAAATGCTTTTAACTTAGATACATAATGTATTTAAAACAATAAAAGGTTTTTTTATTATAATCTGGAAGAGATAGTTTTGTAAACCTACACTCACATGTACACAAATACAGAAATATAATAGTTCTCTTAAGTTTTACTTTACTTCAACTTATTATTTTCTCATAAATAATGTTCGCAGGTCCCCTAGCATCGACCTTAGCCGAGTCCATGGCGTTTAAACGTTTATCTGGAGGGGCGTCAAACAAAAACTGGCCAGACCTGCAGTTGTTGTTTCTCAGTGTTTTACCTGGACCCGCGGGGAGTGTCTTTGGTTACAACTCACACGTAAGGACTAGCAAACCCTTTCGACTTGGCACATACACACATTGATATGTTTTGTGTGTTGGGGACAAAATCGCGCAATCTTCTGCTAATTAGTATATCATTATTCCATAGGTCGTTTATTTTTTCAATAGTATTTATACATTTCATGAGCTATACAGCAAAATATAGAATGGAATATTGCACAAGCCTAAAGAATTACATAATAATAGTTACCCATTTACAGTAGCTATCATTAGCTGATATTTAATAACTTTTAAATAGACCTAATCGACCTACGCTGTAACTGTAGCTGACTGTTTGATAGTTTATTTTCAAAGCCTAACAGGATTATACATTGTATCACGTTTATTCTTACATTTGAAAAAAAACTTTTTATAAACCTTTGACCAAGTTTGTTCCTGTAAGATATCTATTTTGTAACTTCCATCATACTTTAGGTGATAGCTGACATGTCGAAAAGAGCGACTGCCAAGTATGGGTTCTCGTGTTTTCCTGTGTTGTTACGTCCGGCCAGTCGAGGAAAAATCACCTTACGATCAGCAAACCCTTTCATTTACCCGAAAATAGAAGCCAATTATTTGGATAAACAGGCGGACGTGGAGACTTTGATCAAAGGTATTTACTAAAGAAATGATCAGTTTCTAACCCTTTTTACGCCAGAGTATAGGTACAGAAGTTGTACGTCGTTATAGTTGAAGCCGCATGGTTGTTCTACGGATTTATTTTTGTTTAATTCAACCCACATAAGAAAAATGTTTGTTAATTTCAAGTCATGTAAGCAGTTAAAGTAGATTTCGTTTGACAGTAAAGAAAGATTTCTTCACGTGTTCTCATCAAGGAATCCGCGAATGTCACAAACTGGTCAACACCCCAACAATGAAAGCTATCGGAGCTGAGTTGACTGAGGACACGCCAGCCTCGCAATGTGCACAACACAGGTTCGGATCCCTCGGGTACTGGGAGTGTCTGGTCAAGCTGAGGGCCAGCACTGAGTACCACCCTGTGGGGACATGCAAGATGGGACCAAGGAGAGACAGAACAGCTGTCCTGGACGAAAAACTCAGGTAAATATCTTGGCATCTTGTCACCAGTTTCTGTTCAATATTTTTTTTATATATTATTAGATCACATTGTTCTTACTAGTGGTTTTTAAATATTTTAAGGTTTAGTGCATATAATCGGATTCATTATATTAAAGATGACGATGCATTGTGCCATAAATTGTGACTAAATTGGTTGTTTAATTAAACTTTTTAAAATTAATTAAACTTTCCTTTATAAAGCATTAATTTGCACTTTATTTCACACACACAATTTGCGTTCATTTGGTGCGCAATTCTTTTTTTTCTACGCGATTATATCGTATTTTTTGAAAAATAATTAATGTTTCAGAACTTTAGGGGAGATTATTCGAGCTTTATTTATTTAATCTATGGCTACTAACAATTATAGGATTAACGTAAATAATTGAAAATATTTATTTTTAAATATTGAACTGTCAAGCAGATTATAAAATGTAATTTAAAAAACAATGTATCGCTTATTTTAACCAATGTTTAATCCTTTCCCAGGGTTCGTGGTATATCAGGCCTCCGTGTGGTAGACGCCTCTGTGATGCCATGGATTGTGTCAGGGGATATAAGCGCTTCTATTGTTATGATAGCTGAGAAGGCAGCGGATATGATTAAAGGGAAACAACTCATGCCTTCCAGAAACCTTGAAAGATGTTAATATAACACAGTTATCTCTCGTATAACAATAAACACAACATAGATTAGCTTTGCTATAATTTTTATTAATCTTCGTAGTAGATGTAACATTAAGGTCACTACCTAAACACGAAATTATTTTGTTTATTTTACAAGCGCTTTTGTAACACTAAGCTCATTAAAATTGATGTAACTATATGTGTTTTTTTTTACGTTTTTTACTTTCTCGTATATACGAAGTATAGAGAAAGTCTTGTAATCGTGCAAAAAAAAAATCGAGATTTTTGCAAATCTCGACGTTTTGCATCTCACTGATACGGAAAAACATAATTTTGCAATCTTGTCCGTATGTCTGTGTGTCTGTGTGTGTGTGTCTGTGTGTGTGTGTGTCCGTGTGTAAACACGATAACTTGAGTACCGTTACAGCTAGGTTGATGAAATTTCATATATAAGTATTTTATCAAAATCGTAGATCCGTATCAACTTTTGAGCGATTTCCGACAACCGGAAGTGGTACTTTTCCTACTTTGAATTTTTCAAAAGCCTATAACTTGAGTACTATTTCAGATAGATAAATGAAATTTCATACGTAAGTAAAAGATCTAATTCTCTACCTTCTATTAAATTTTGAGTCATTTCCGTTGACTGGAAGTAGTACTTTACGCTACTTCCGATTTCTCAAAAAACCAATGTAAATTTTAAAAGTAATAATAATATTTCGCACTATTATGCGCTTTTTTATTTCGCGTTCACTTGGTGTGCAATTAATTTGTCTACGAGATTTTATTCTATTTTTAAAACTTTAAGTATTTAAAATGGATTAAAAATCATGTCTATAGCCCGAGTTCCCATCCCCTGTTATTTTATATTGAATATTCGAGAAAGTTTAGGGGAGATCACTCCCGGTTTATTTATAATGATATTGTTCCTGTAGATTGAAGCCAATATTGCACACACAAAAAAATAAGTACCAAGTAGTTTGCTAATTAATAAATTTAGATACATAAAAAAACATAAAAATAATAAAGATAAAAATTACATCTATACTAAATCTGTATTGGAGATGTGAACCCGTATAGATTTCTACCACAGTGTTTCGCCAAATCCAACTGTGGAGCTTACTGTTTAGTGGATCCATTTTTTAAATGTATTTCTTGACAACAATATTTGATAAGTAATGAGCTGCTAAGTCCATTTCTTGCTTTGAGACGCGGTTTGCCATGTACAGTTTCAGAACATTCTACCATTGACACCTCTGAATCAAGCAGGGAAAGTGAACTCCCAATGTTGTACCTTCTTACCTGTATTTAATGATATGAGACTATTTACCTTGATTTAGGGTAAATGTGGAACAAGTAATAACAATCGACTTTTGTTTACGTAATGAGATGTTACGCATTTTTATTATATTTTTAAACTGTCAAAACGTAATTGCAAACAATATAATAATATAGTGCTTTAAAATATTTAAAATATGATAACGATTTTTTTATCTCATAATCGATAGCCATTCTCTTCATCCACAAGTCAATTAATCTCCAGATAACAAAACCCCAGATATTTATTCCCCAGACACTTAATTCCCAAACTACATTTATATCTGCTTGCTGATAGAATGTAAGGATTGTTTTTTTTAGGATGGAGTGATTGTTGCTATGATGGAGTGATTGTTTTTATGATGGAGTGATTGTTGGTAGGATGCAGTGATTGTTTTTAGGATGTAGGGATAGTTGTTAGGATACACAGATTGTTAGAATACAGTGTTTATTGTTAGGAGGCAGTGAATTTTGTAAGGATGCATTAACTATTTGACACAAATCTTTTCATAATTACCTATTTACAAATCCAAAAGAGGTATAAGAAAAGTGAAATAATTGCAATGTAAGCCTAGCCGTAAAGCCGGGATCTCTTCTGTTATACGGCAGTCAACAAAGTACATTTAGATCTTTATCTGCCCGTGGTAATCCAATGGATTATGTTGACTGGCGCGATTACCACCCCACCCATTCCCCCCCCCCTCCATAATCCACCACATGCCTATGTTCGCCTAACTGATGGTGTCAACAGGTGCGGTTATTCGCTCACCCCCACCCACACACATTTTGTTCTTGAACGATAGTCTAGACCAGGAATTCCCAACCCTGTGCCCGCGGGCGCCATGGCGCCCGCTGAACGATTTGTATGTGCCCGCCTCTCACTATTCGACAGAGACAGAATCTTTTTCATAACCATTATTTTAAAATATGATTTATTTTTATTCATTTGTTACAGTTTTATTTTTTTTTTACTACCTAGGTGTATAAAATATGTTCGATACTTGTCCCAGCTTGTCCAGCGGCGAGCCAGACTGCACTATTTACGCTAGCCTGAAACGGCTAGTGCCATTTGCACATCATACCTTGTACACGCAGAAAACCCGAAGTGAACGAATAGAACGAACGCCACGAACTGATCCGATAAACGCCGAAGGCGCCAAATCACAAGGTACATAACTCTGATTGCTTCGGCGATCATCGGCTCACTTCGGGTTTTCCGCGTATACATGGAGTGATGTGCAAAAAGCATTCCCCGCCTGGAACCGCGTTGTTGTCATTGTGATTGCTGCCCTGTTCGGGTCGCGACAGTTAGATAAGAGACATGTTCGTCAGACGAAATACGAATTAGAAGTTTTCTATATAAAAATAAACCGGCAGTGATCTCCCCTAAACTTTCTCGAATATTCTTATATAAAATAACAGGGTATGGGAACTCGGGCTATAGACATGATTTTTTATCCATTTTAAATACTTAAAGTTTTAAAAATAGAATAAAATCTCGTAGACAAAAGAATTGCACACCAAGTAATCGCCAAATAAAAAAGTGCATAATAGTGCGCAATATTATTAGTACTTTTTAAATTTGATAGAAGGTAGAGAATTAGATCTTTTACTTACACGTGAAATTTCATTTATCTATCTGAAATAGTACTCAAGTTATAGGCTTTTGAAAAATTCAAAGTAGAAAAAGTACCACTTCCGGTTATCGGAAATCGCTCAAAAGTTGATACGGATCTACGATTTTGATAAAATACTTATATATGAAATTTCATCAACCTAGCTGTAACGGTACTCAAGTAAGCGTGTTTACACACAGACACACAGACACACACACAGACACACAGACATACGGACAAGATTGCAAAATTATGTTTTTCCGTATCATTGAGGTGTAAAACGTCGAGATTTATAAAAATCTCGATTTTTTTTTTTGCACGATTACAATACTTTCTCTATACTTCGTATATACGAGAAAGTAAAAAATCAACCGGCGTTTTGTAAATACATTTCTCTGTAGGCCTATGTATACAATTTGAAAAAAAAATGCCAAATAATTTTATTATTTTAAACATTTTTGTTTATTATTAATTAATACATTATGACTATAAGTAAATAAGAAAATAAATTATGGGAAAATGACAAGTTATGAAAGGAGTTTGTCAATTTAAAATAGGTGGTGCCCGCCACCCTGCAGATATTTTAGAATGTGCTAAAGAGTAAAAGAAGATTGGGAACCCCTGGTCTAGACTATCTATATCATAACCTCCCCCCTGTATTACATAAACACCGAACACAGCCAGGTGACTTGATTTTCGTCTTACCGGACAAGACTTCATAAACTTACCTGGCCAGGTCTTCGTCTTGCGAAGGGTGGGGGGCAATGGTTCACAGGGCAACTGGTAGGTTTCTATCAGGTAAACTGGTAGGTTTCTATCAGGGCAACTGGTAGGTTTGGTAGGTTTCTATCAGGGAGACTGGTAGGTTTGGTGGGTTTCTATCAGGGAGACTGGTAGGTTTCTATCAGGTAAACTGGTAGGTTTCTATCAGGGCAACTGGTAGGTTTGGTGGGTTTTTATCAGGGAGACTGGTAGGTTTGGTGGGTTTCTATCAGGGAGACTGGTAGGTTTCTATCAGGTAAACTGGTAGGTTTCTATCAAGGCAACTGGTAGGTTTCTATCAGGTAAACTGGTAGGTTTCTATCAGGTAAACTGGTAGGTTTCTATCAGGTAAACTGGTAGGTTTCTATCAAGGCAACTGGTAGGTTTCTATCAGGTAAACTGGTAGGTTTCTATCAGGTAAACTGGTAGGTTTCTATCAGGTAAACTGGTAGGTTTCTATCAGGGCAACTGGTAGGTTTCTATCAGGTAAACTGGTAGGTTTCTATCAAGGCAACTGGTAGGTTTCTATCAGGTAAACTGGTAGGTTTCTATCAAGGCAACTGGTAGGTTTCTATCAGGTAAACTGGTAGGTTTCTATCAAGGCAACTGGTAGGTTTCTATCAGGTAAACTGGTAGGTTTCTATCAGGTAAACTGGTAGGTTTCTATCAGGTAAACTGGTAGGTTTCTATCAGGGCAACTGGTAGGTTTCTATCAGGGCAACTGGTAGGTTTGGTAGGTTTCTATCAGGGAGACTGGTAGGTTTGGTGGGTTTTTATCAGGGAGACTGGTAGGTTTGGTAGGTTTTTATCAGGGCAACTGGTAGGTTTCTATCAGATCAATTGGTAGATTTCTATCATGGTAACTGGTAGGTTTTTTCAGGTCAACTGGTGGGTTTCTATCGGGGCAACTGGTAGGTTTCTATCAGGTAGACTGGAAGGTTTCTATCAGGCCAACTGGTAGGTTTCTATCAGGGCAGCTGGTAGTAGGCTTCTATCAGGGCAACTGGTAGGTTTCTATCGGGGCAACTGGTAGGTTTCTATCGGGCCAACTGGTAGGTTTCTATCGGGGCAACTGGTAGGTTTCTATCAGGTAAACTGGTAGGTTTCTATCAAGCCAACTGGTAGGTTTCTATCAGGGCAGCTGGTAGGTTTTTATCAGGGCAACTGGTAGGTTTGTATCGGGGCAACTGGTAGGTTTCTATCAGTGTGACTTGTACGTTTTTATCAGGGCAACTAGTAGGTTTCTATCAGGGCAGCTGGTAGGTTTCAATCAGGGCAACTGGTAAGTTTCTATCAGGGCAACTGGTAGGTTTCTATCAAAAGAACTGGTAAGTTTCTATCAGTGTGACTTGTAGGTTTTTATCAGGGCAACTAGTAGGTTTCTATCAGGGCAACTGGTAGGTTTCTATCGGGGCAACTGGTAGGTTTCTATCAGGGTGACTTGTAGGTTTTTATCAGGGCAACTGGTAGGTTTCTATCAGTGTGACTTGTAGGTTTTTATCAGGGCAACTAGTAGGTTTCTATCAGGGCAACTAGATGGTTTATGTTAAGGAATTTGTAGCTTTCTATCAAGGCAACTGGTAGTTTTCTATCAGAGGAACTGGTAGGTTTCTATCAGGGTAACTGGTAGGTTTTTATCAGGTCAACTGGTAGGTTTCTGTCGCGGCAACTGGTAGGTTTTTATCATTTTTAAAAGAAGGGAACTTCACTATCTATTCATATACCGATGTCACTAGAACAGATGAACTCTACTTCATCCATCTGCACCATGTATCTAAGACAAGAACGTTTAAAAAATTATTTTTAAGGTAATTTTCTAAAGGCATGGTGGGCGCAATTTTTATAAACATTTCTTGGGGGCACTTTGGTAGGTGCAATTCTAAGGTATGACCGGGCGCGGTCAGCAGCCCCCCCCCCAGTCACACCACCCCCTCAGCTATAAAGTTACTGAATTTAAAAGACAATCGATCTCGACTTGGTACAATCACAACTTACAATACGTGTGTTATCAACAGGGACATAACTCAGCTGAATTGATCGAACAGTGGCTTTTCGGAACAGACTAACGATACAATTACGTACCAAGGTCGTTATTTGAATTATTAAGGGTTGAAGTAATGGGGTGTTGTGTGTATGGTAGAGGCTTGGTGGCAGGGGGGTAATTATTCCTTGAGTCAAGGTTTCGACTTATTTGTTCTCAAAAGTAAGAAATTAATCAGTTAATTTTAACAGAGAAATTAATAAAATATTGTGGTGTGTTTTTACATTGCATAATTAAATTGTTGGTGTATTCATGTTATTTTATTGCAAAGAACAAGAATGTGAATAAATTTACTTTAAAAATATGCATGTATTTCATGTGTAAAAAATATTTATAGTATATAGAAGTTATATTTATAGTTACAGTGTGAAAACAATTTTGAATTTTCTATCCTACAGCCATTGTAGGCTACATCTCTCGGGAAATATACCTCTTGGAGAGATTCTTGTTCAAACTGCACATCGCACTTCCATTGTTTCAATGACGGTGCTTAAATACGCAAATAATTATAGATTTTAAAGTGGGATTTAATTTTATTAAATACAATCTGATGCGTGTTTGTGAGTGTTTGGATGAGTTTTTGTGTGTATGTGTATGGTAGTGTGAGTAGATGTGTGTGTGTGGTTAGTGTATATGTGCGAGCGTACTTGTGTATGTGCAGTAGTAAACTCCGCAGATACCACACGTCAAAGTGTATACATCATGACGTCTTGATACGCTTGAGCTACATTTAAACAATATCAATAACATCTGCAGCAAACAAATGAATTACCCATCATGCGGCATATCTAACTTAATCCAGCCAATAACCCTAGCATTGACGTAGAGACTGACCATTCAAAGCCACATAGTCAACTAGACAACATGGCAGCCTCTATCAAACTCTTTTTATCCACCATCTCATTCATCTGTCTAGTGCTCACTGAGAGTTTGGTTGATGCAGCTTTCGTGGAGACTCCAGAACCAGCCTATGATTATATCATTGGTACGTAGTATATCTTTGCTGTAATTTTATTTAATATGCTCAACGATTGATCTCACAACATAAACTACATTTTCTCAACAACACATTAGAATTTTTTTTAAATGAGGATACACTCATTAATCAATTACACAGCCGAAAATATGTGGGTTAAAGTTAAATCGATACCTTACCTGGTTTGATCACCTGCATAAGGTTGGAGGGTATGTTTTCAAAAGCTGCTCACACTACGGCTTAAATTTGTTCACATAACAATCTGCAAGTAAGGATAGTAAAGTATAGTTTAATATTTAATTTAACCGTTTTGGTTTTAATTTTTTTTAAATAAGATTGGTATATATTTAATTAATAACATGAAATTAGGCCGTTTTACAAACCACACAACGAGATAGAAACATTACGCACTAAAGACATTTAAGTTTAAATTTCAACATATTACAAACATATTTGAAATTAATGCTTACCAACTAGACAATATGTTAAAGTTGTCTCTATATCGACAATTGATTTATTATTAAAACCATCCCAGGTCAAGCAAAACAAATATACACAAAAATAAAGTTTTTTAAATAAAGCTTCATTTCAATTTTTAACAAAACCTTTTTTTTTTTTTGCATGGCAAGTTGGAGGAGGGTCTGCTGGCTGTGTGTTGGCCGGCAGGTTGTCTGAAGACGATGACGTCACTGTGTTATTGTTGGAGGCAGGAGGCAACGACAAGGGGAACCCTAACATCACGACCCCCGGGCTGACACTGCTCAACTTGCGGAGTTCTGTAGACTGGGTTTACTACACAGAGCCTCAGCCTGGCATCATGGAAGGGTTTGAGAACAACGTGTGTATCATTCGTTAATATAATTTTACATCTTTTAGATTTTACCCTAGTAAAAAACAAGGTTAAAACTAACAAGTAGCTGGTTTAAATAATAAACAGCTTATTAAACGTTGATATCTTATTAAATAAATATATATATATATATATATATATATATATATATATATATATATATATATATATATATATATATATATATATATATATATATATATATATATATTTCACAATAGAAGTGTACCTTTTTTACTTTCTCGTATATACGAAGTATAGAGAAAGTCTTGTACTCGTGAAAAAAAATAGAGATTATTACAAATCTCGACGTTTTACACCACCCTGAGTCGGAAAAACATATTTTTGCAATCTTGTCCGTATGTCTGTGTGTCTGTGTGTGTCTGTGTGTCTGTGTGTCTGTAAACACGATATATTGAGTACCGTTACAGCTAGGTTGAGAAAATTTCATATATCTTTTATCAAAGTCGTAGATCCGTATCAACTTTTGAGCGATTTCCGATAACCGGAAGTGGTACTTTTTCTACTTTGAATTTTTTCAAAATTCTGTAACTTAAGTACTATTTCAGATAGATAAATGAAATTTCACATGTAAGTAAAAGATCTTATCCTCTACTTTCTATAAATTTTTGAGTAATTTCCGTTGACCGGAAGTAGAAATTTACGCCATTTCCGATTTCTCAAAAAAACGCATGTGAATTTATAAAGTACTAATAATATTCCGCACTATTATGCATATTTTGTTTTGGCGTTCGCTTGGTGCGCAATTCTTTTTTTCTACGAGATTTTATTCTATTTTTAAAAGTTAAATTAATTAAAAATCAAGTCTATATTCCGAGTTGCCATCCCACGTGGTGTTATATAAAAATATTCGAGAAAGTTTAGGGGAGATCACTCTCGGTTTATTTTTCCTTATTACTAGCGTTCATATTGGCCTCGTGGTAAAGTTCTAGGAGGTAGCAGCAGTATAAACTTAATGCAGTGGGTCCGTGGTTCAAGACACGACTACAACAGGTGGGCTGATTACCTGGGAACCACTGACTGGGACTACAGACAAGTCTTGCCTTACTTCAAGAAATCTGAGGACATGTTGATTCCTGAACTGACAGATTCTGGTAATTAAACAAACCAATCTATATATTTTTATCTAGCGGTCCAACTAAATGATTACAAATTTATTTAATTGAATATCGTATTACGTTTAATATGACTCTGATGTTAGCTCGTTAGGGTTGTAATATCTCAATGTAAGTAGGCCCTGTAGGTTTTATATGAATTTAATGAGTTTAATTTTTTTTTTTAAACACAATAGTGCATTATATACCAATTAAAGATTGATGTCAAATACACATTTTAAAAGTAACAATCATTTTACAAATACTTTTAAGACACTATAAATATTTTGAATAATGAAATTTGTTTGTTTTTTTGTTTGTTTTTGTTTTTTGTTTTTTTTTTGGACGTATTGCTTTGTCGTTGTTTTAATTTGGTTTCATGTTAAATTGTTTACTTATTATCTATCACTTCTAGACTACCACAACCAAAATGGCCCCGTTCCAGTTTCAAGATTTTCCAACCAGCCAATCGTAGAGGAGATTATCGAAGCGGCAAACACTGTTGGATACACTTATAATAAAGACTACAATGGCGAAACTATGCCGGGTAATTAAACTTGAGAACGAAATTTATTTTTAAATTAGACACTTGGGTTTGCTTTTACCACAACAACGTTTATCTGTTCAATTCTTGAACAAAGGAAACAAAAACAAATCTTTCTAGAATACACAACTTTATCAATTTAAAACTGCAAAGTAAATATTTTATTAAAAAACCATATTTCTTATAAAAGCAGAGTCAGATCCTTTAATTGAATGTGTTTAATATATTCGGAAAAAAAATTAAATATATCGTTGAAAATCCTTTGATCTATTTTTCCATTTTTTAATCATTAAAGCTCTTTCCGCTTTAAAACCACATTATTTTTGCCATTCGATTGAAAAATTTTCAATAAAGTCGTAAATTCCAATAAGCAGTACGCAAGTTTTAAAATTACTAAAACATTTTTGTATATATGTTGTTTTTTTTATATCCACAAGCGGTCTCTCAGCTCACTACAACTGTCTCAATAAGAACCCATTTCCAGTAATTCAAATTTTATATATTTACAATGTTAACTCACGAAAATCTCATTTTGAATCTCATATATTTTAAATTAATTTTAACTGCATTTAAAGTATACATTAGCAAAAGGAAAAAAAACTAGACAAAGCTCACAAGGCGGCATAAGGTAAGTTGGTGCTCACATAGAAATTTTATAAATCATCGAACTAAGAAAACAAAAGAACAAAAAGCGGGAGATAATTCTTGTTTATACTTGATATATAGCTTTGATTAACAGCAGTCTATTAATATTTTAAAAAATAGTAGCCATTGTTTTTGTTTTAAATTGAAACACCGACGTATTAAACAATTTAAAATTTCTAGACACATGAAAGTTGAGAATAAACGTATAAAACAAATAGTAACGTTGTTTTCAATAAATTCAAAATGCGAAATTTAACTCGATTTTTTTCCCGTAAATATAACCGTAAAATCAGCCTGCTCTAAACGTGAAAAATACCGAGTTTTTAATTCATAAGATGTACAAGCTGATCATTTTATATGCAAAAAAACACAAGTTTTGTTTGTATTCATATTTTAGCCCATGTAAAAGCTATTTACTGTACAGGTTTAGCATATAAGCTCTATTGATTATTTTATAACTGAAATTAGGACGTTTGTTTAAGTCGGTGTACAATCATTGATTTTCTTTCCGTCGTGTTTGATAACAATAGAAACGATAACACGTAATCTACGCTAGATTTTTACAAGCTTTTATTTAACTCACTTCCTCTGTCTGTCGTCAGTCGTTAGTCTGTTTAGATCGAAACGCCCGAGCGAACTTGCAGGGACTTCTAACTGACAGATACGATTCGAAATTGGTACGTGGTTCAAGACATAAAGACAATGCAACATGACAATAAATTTGACTTCATTGGTTGCCTGATTGTTTTTTTATGAATTAAAATTTTGTCCAAATTAGTAGGCTGTTTTATCAAACTATTCAGCGCCATTAGACACGCGTCATCACGTTCAGTATGTGCGCAATGGTTTTTAGTCATGCAACTATTGTAAATTTAAAACATTTAAAGTACAAAAAAATATGATTAAAAAACGTTTTAATATCAAGCATTTAATTAATAATGCATTTAAAAAGTACAAAATAAATTACGCACTACTATTTGAATAACTGTAAAGAAAAGCGTGGGTTTCTTCCTAAATATTAGTAAAGGTATCCAATAGATACTAAAGTGACCCACGCTTTTCTTTCAATGTTCAATCTGGTTTAGTTTCTACTGGTCTTCTTTATACAGGTATCTCCTATACCCAGGCCAACGCCAAAAATAGCCAGAGGTGGTCAACAAGTAGAGCGTATGTCCATCCTGTTCTTGACAGGTCAAACCTCCATGTGTCGTTGAATTCTTCTGTTACTAAAGTAAGGACATTGTATCAATCAAACTAGGCCTATTCTACCTAACATATATTTTTTACGCAAGATTTGCATTCTTCGAGACACAAAAAAAAAGATCTAAAAAAAGAATAAACAAGCAACAAGCAATCCTAACATTTGATTCAACACAAACGTTATGCCACGAATTTCGGAAGTCTGTGAGTTAGGTCAAATTTGGTTGAGACACCTTCTATTTTATTAAATCCCATCAGGATTGTTTAACTTTCCAAATAAACAGATACATTCTTTTATTGTTCTGTTTTGGAAAACTGGCATCAGAAGCCTGTTAACAATCATCTCAAGAGATTAATCATTTAGTGCCGTAACATCTTCCATCTAGGTGTTATTTCAAATTTTGTTGAGACCCCTTCTAATTTATTAAATGACATCAGGATGTTTTAATTTTCCAAATAAATAGATAATTTTTACAAGCTTTTATTTAACTCACTTCCTCTGTCGTCAGTCGTCAGTCTGTCGTCAGTCTAGATAGAAACGCAGGAGTGAAAATTCGGACACTTCTACTTGACCGATACGATTCACATTTGGCACGTGGGTCAAGACATGAAGACAATGCAATCTGAAACTAAATTTGACTTAATTCGATGCCTAATTAATTTTTTATGAATTAATTAAAATTTGGACCGAATTAGTAGGCATGTCTATCCAACCACACCACACGCGTCATCACGTTCCATAGCTGCGCCTTCAGGTTGAATAGCTGCGCCATCACGTTCAATAGGCGCGCAATGGTTTTTAGTCATGTAACACTATCGTAAATAAAACATGTAAAGTACTGAAAAAAAATTCATAAAAAAACGTTTTAATAACAAGCTTTTATGTACTAATGCACTAAAAAGTAGAAAATAAATTATACACTACTATTTAAATCACTATAAAGAAAAGCGTGGGTCTCTTCTCAAATATTAGTAAAGGTATAAAATAGGTACTAAAGTACTAAAGTGACCCACGCTTTTCTTTATAGTGATTTAAATAGTAGTGTATAATTTATTTTCTACTTTTTAGTGCATTAGTACATAAAAGCTTGTTATTAAAACGTTTTTTATGATTTTTTTTATCGTTCTGTTTTGGAAAACTAGCACCCTGTTAACAATCATCTCAAGAGACTAATCATTTAGTGCCGTCTAGGTAAACATACGACAGCAGAGAGCGCGGGGTGTGGTATTTGTTAAAGATGGCGTCCAGCACTCCATCAGAGCCAGACGTGAGGTCATCCTGTCTGCTGGGACCATCGGCTCTCCACAGATTCTCATGTTGTCTGGGGTCGGGCCTAAGAAACATCTGGAAAGTTTGAAGGTTTTTCTCTTATTTAAACAGTAGTTACTTGTAAAATACGGTTTATTGAGAAAACTAAGAACATTTAAAATTTTATTACATTAAACAGTGCGCGTTACAATGAATTAATTTAATATTTGACGGAAGTCATTAAAATCGTAATTTATTAAAGAACAATAACATGGTTTGTTTTAATTATTTACCGTAGATCCCTGTACTAGCTGACCTGCCTGTTGGAGAAAATCTACAAGATCACATGTCTTTTGACGTTGGTGTTAAGATCAATGAACCGTTAAGTGTTGATCCTGCAAGTCTCGGAACTCCGCAAGTCTTTCAACAATACATAGTCAACGGCACAGGTAACTATGTTGTTCTTGTGATAAAACTTATAAGACAGCTTTAGTTTTATATGGACATCAGTTACAGCATAGAAAAATCAGAAAATATAAAGCCTAAACTTTAAACTACACTGTATTTAAAATGAAGTTGTATTTACGCTTTGTGGATTTGTATGAGAGTAGCTTCCCGTGGCGATTTAAATAGTCACAAACCACAAACGCAAATGACAAACCGCAAACACAAACCACAAACTACAAACCCAAACCACAAACCACAAACCACAAACCACAAACCACAAACCACAAACCAAAAACACAAACCACAAACTACAAACCCAAACCACAAACCAAAAACACAAACCACAAACACAAACCACAAACACAAACCACAAACACAAACCACAAACCACAAACACAAACTACAAACTACAAACCCCAACCACAAACCACAAACCCATACCACAAACAACAAATCACAAACCCAAACCACAAACACCATACCACAAACCCAAATAACTCTCCATAAACCCAAACCCAAACTACTAACCACAAACCCAAACCACTAACCACAAACCTAAACCAAACGGCCCTTTAAATGTGTTGAATTTATCAACTCAGTAAATATTGCTGGTAATATTAAGTGCATAAAGCAAGAGTGAGCTCCAAAATATTCGCACACTACAGGTAGTGTTAGGGTAACACTTCGAGTGGGATTTGACTACAAAAACGTTAGGTATGTATGCAACAAAACAGTTCATTTTCCAAGAAAACACATAGATCTAGAGGCAAAAGGCTCCTACATTATGTATCTTTATGTGAATTTGGTCTGAAAGCTTCACATTCTGAGCTTTCTTTGAAAATCCACAAATACAAGTAAATATTACAATCCTGTTTACTGGAAATCGTTCAAAATTTTCATAGAAATCTACTTTTGGGATTTCATAATAAGTGTTGAGAACCAGCATTAATGACTGAAATAAATTATATGATTTTGTTTTGACTAAAGTAATTATTTATTAAGAATGTGTACGGGTACGTGTACTTGTGCTTACGATGTACAGGTTTATGTACATTAAATACACGTATAAATGACTTTGCTAAGTGAAAGCCATTCTTTATCTTAAACCTTAACTTCAGGTCCACTGGCATCCACACTTGGAGAAGCTATGTAATTTAAAAGTTTTTATCGAAGAGGGTTATACAGGGACTGGCCAGACCTGCAAATTCTATTTCTAAGTATTCTTTCTGGAACCAACAGGAACGTGTTTGGATACAACTCACAAGTAAGAGCTTGCAAAACTTTTCAAAACAACACCATTACAATTTATGTCATGTTTTTAAGAATTCCATTGTGTCTCAAAGTGATTGTTTGTTAAGTATTGCAGTCAGAAAAAATATTTTAAAGTGTGAAATATAGACATCCAATTAAGAATTAATTGTACTGTAACTTATCTGTAGAAGTACAAACAGTCTCGCACACAAAAAGAGTTTATTAAAACTTAATCATATAAAAAAAGATTGCGTGAAAGGGGAAGTCATTCTAAATAATATTGTGTTGTTTACATAGAGAGCAGAGAACTCACCGAAGTACATTCTGAATTATATATTCTTATATATTTTGCCCTGTGCATATATAGAATGAGAGAGAAAGAGAGAGTTGGGGAGATAGAGAAAAAGTTATACAGACTTTTGGCATATTTTTAATTGATTGTGATTGCCAAAATTATATTCTTAAAATGTGCACATTTTATTTTCCAGTTTTGCATAGTATTATAAAAACTTGGTATACAAGACATTTTTGTTATATGCTCAAATACTTTAATATGTTGAATATGCAAATGCAATTCCCATAGGTGAGAGCTGATATGTCCAAAAGAGACACAGCTAAGTTCGGATTCTCATGTTTTCCTGTAATGTTACATCCGGCCAGTCGAGGAAAAATCACCTTACGGTCAGCAAACCCTTTCACTTACCCGAAAATAGAAGCCAATTACTTAGCTGAACCAGAGGACGTGGAGACTTTGATTAAAGGTATTTGATATCAATACATTCAACTTAAAACTAGTTCACAGTTCGTGATTGGTGTATTAGAGTGGGGGGGGGGGAGGGAGAGAAATTAAACTTTAGTCAATCGTTTTGTAAGATTTAATAAACTAATCATCAACTTTCGAAGTTTAAAGTGTCTATATTTTCCCGAGCCCTATGAAAGAAAAAAACATTGTTTTAAAATGATATGTGCAATATTAGTGTTAGAGCATATTTTCTCAAGTCTTACATTTGTGAAGTGCCTACTTTTCTGAGTGTATATATATGTGGTCCTTATTGTCTTCTAATAAGTTACATTTTAGCAGTGACGTAGCGAGGTCGGGTGTCACCCGGTGCGGCACTTAATGGTGTCACCCCCCCCCCCCCCCCCCCAGAGGCATAGAGACCCTTCCCAGGGACAAACTTTCAAATTTTCGATTTGCACCCCCCCCCCCTCAAACTTTCGATTTGCACCCCCCCCCCCCCCCCAGTTTTCGATTTGCACCCCCCTCAAACTTTCGATTTGCACCCCCCCCCCCCCTCGAGTTTTTCTCTATATATTTTGCTATTTTTTGCCTTGGTGTCACCCCCCTAAATGGTGTCACCCGGTGCGGTCCGCACCCCCCGCCCCCCCCCCCCCCCCCTCGCTACGCCCCTGCATTTTAGATTCATTGAATCATTACATAATATTTCAATACAACTAAATTTATAGCAACAAAGTAGCTTCAAAATCAGTTATTAATAATAGGATTTTAATTTTGAATAGTATTTTATAATTTAAGATTTTTATTAAATCATTTCTCCCACAAGGAATCCGTGAATGTCACAACCTGGTCAACACGCCAACAATGAAAGCTATCGGAGCTGAGTTGACTGAGGACACGCCAGCCTCGCAATGTGCACAACACAGGTTCGGATCCCACAAGTACTGGGAGTGTGTGGTCAAGCTGAGGGCCAGCACTGAGTACCACCCTGTGGGGACATGCAAGATGGGGCCAAGGAGAGACAGAACGGCTGTGGTGGATGGGAAACTCAGGTATCCATCCGTTTAAAGCATCAGTATACGTTTTAGTATGTTCTAACTTCAATACAAAAACTCAAGTATTCATCCATAAAGCATCATGATATGTTCTAGTATGTTCTAATTTCAATAAATGGGTTGTCATTTCTTTGTAAATTATACAACAAGCCTGATAAATCAGAAGAAGAATTAGCCAAACCACACTTGAGACAAATCTACCCATACCACACTTGAGACAAAACTACCCATACCACACTTGAGACAAATCTACCCCTACCACACTTGAGACAAATCTACCCCCACCACACTTGAGACAAATCTACCCCCACCACACTTGAGACAAATCTACCCCTACCACACTTGAGACAAATCTACCCCTACCACACTTGAGACAAATCTACCCATACGACACTTGAGACAAATCTACCCATACCACACTTGAGACAAATCTACCCCTACCACACTTGAGACAAATCTACCCATACCACACTTGAGACAAATCTACCCATACCACACTTGAGACAAATCTACCCATACCACACTTGAGAAATTTTACCCATACCAAACACGAGTCAAATCTACCCATAGCACACATGTCAAATCTACCGTAAAATCTTTTTTTTTACCAAACATTTTTCCAAAACTTGTGTTCCAGGGTTCGAGGTATATCTGGTCTCCGTGTGGTAGACGCCTCTGTGATGCCATGGATTGTGTCAGGGAACACAAATGCTCCTGTTGTTATGATAGCTGAGAAGGCAGCGGACATGATTAAAGGGAAACAACCACTTAAACCAATCGACTTGTAGAATCACTCAAAATAAAGAGATGTTTTTTTCTTGTTTATTGAACTGAAAATCTGTTAGCATGGGAATTTTTTTTTAATTGTTACATATCAGATAAAAACATTAATGAATGTGTCAAATAAACATGATTATAATTTCCTTTGTAAGCAATTGATTTGATAATTACTTTTTACAAAAGCAAATATATGATTACCAACAATAAATTTCCTGGGCTATTTAATTTTTTTTATAATAATTTCACTATGTGTTAGTTCCTTCACGCATGATGCAAAACGTTGAATAGCTTTTGTAACCTATTGGGTAAAGGGGAATAACTCAGTTAATGTTTTTAAAAACTTGCCTCTTCTCCTCTTGTATAACTAAATTATTTTTGTTACACTTGACTTTTCGTCAAGAAAGGCCGACTTTTTAGCGCAATTTCCATTCTGGAGAATTGCGTTTATTAACTCATTTCTGGGAATGGATGGATGAATGTATGGATGTGTGTCCGGGCTTTAAGTCGTATCTCCTCCTCAACGAAGCAATATCGATGACTAGTTACAAAAGCAATTATGTTAAGCAAGCTACGAGGATGAACATAGGCCATAAAAATTCCGGGTTTCTTTCATGGATTTCCCGAAAAAGCCAAAAAACCTCGAGAAAATACAGTTTTTTGCCCATATCTCGGCAACCAGACCACTTAGCAACTTGAAACATGTACCAATCGATTCCTGTCATAATTTAGAACAATATTGCCGAAGAAAGTTTTCAAAAATATCCTTTTGTTCGGTCACAAAAAAAATTTTGAATTAATTAAAATTTGGACCGAATTAGTAGGCATGTTTTTCCAACCACACCACACGCGTCATCACGTTCAATAGCTGCGCCATCACGTTCAATGGCTGCGACATCACGTTTGGTAGCTAGGCGCGCAATGGTTTTTAGTCATGTTACTCTATTGTAAATAAAACATGTAAAATACTGAAATTTTTTTTAATAAAAAACGTTTTAATAACTAACCAATGGTTTTACTAACCCTGCTCTTGATTTACGCTACGACAGAGCTATTTTTAGATAACATAAGGAAATTGCGCTAAAATTGTCACTAGACTTTTTTTAATTACTTGTTTATTTCTAGCACAAGCATTTTTGTAATGTGAACTATTTCTTTAAACTATTTGCATATGACACTGTGCCTATGAAACGTATTTTTTTGTTTGACTTTTTTTGGCTTTAGATAAACAAATTAATCAAATAAAATAAAAATAAAAAATTTAATCATTTCTTTTAAAGTTACACCTACTCCAACATTATCTACAGATTCTGGAACAGGTTCTCATTGTATTCGTGCAAAAGTTCTTGTGGATGTTGAAACAATTATTCTTTCTTCAGGTTTCTTTGTTAAATGGTAATCTTAGTCAAGATAGTTTCATCAAATCTGTATATATAATTCTCTTCTTGGAGACGTTAGAAAGCGCGCCTTGCAGTCCCCACTCTTCCTCTCTAGGAAGTCTTGTGAGTTGTGGTTCACGCTAAATGTTTAGTGACGGCTATTAGGGGCAGATAATTTAGTATGAAACGATTTTAAACTTAGGGGAGGTAGCTAAGAGTAGGCTGCTTTCACGGGAGGGGGGGGGTAGTATCGTCCTTAACGAGCTACTTATAGTGTTTTAAAGCAAATATTTTCAGTGACAGCACTGGTACTGTCGAATTAACAAATTATGAAATACTGAAAAGTAGAATATAAAACAACTAAATAGCGGCGCACGTATGATACGCCGCGTGTCGGCTCGTTTAAAATAAACTGTTTCGCGTTTTTAAAAATCACATTATACAATCACGTTTAACCAGCTTTGAATGTTGTGTATAAATTTAAAAAAACATTTTTCGTTATCAACATATTCTAATATCTTTTTTCAAAGAATTATTTCCATCGTTTAAAGAAATGTAATTCGTAACTTACCGATTTTCATAGCAGATATTCTTCAAACGTTTAAAGAAATGGAATTCATAACTCGAAAATATATATATTTTTTCAGTTTAAGGTTACATTTCTTTTTATTTTCATTCAGTCTAAGTTATAAACTGTGGTTTCATTTTCATAAGAAAATCATTGATTGTACATGAACTCCGTGATCGATATTATGAAAACCCCATATTATAATAATGTGTTCTCAAATCTTGGCCGATAAAGTTTTTAACTAAAATTATTGTTTTTTGAACCACACGAAACACTTCTACCATTTTTGATACATTTTCTGTGATAAAAATCTAAACAAGTAAACTGTTTAGGCTTTTCTTATTTAATCAAATTTAGTTACCAAAGATACTAAAAACTTTAAATACATATTATTATCCATCTTTAGTATAGTCCAACACAAAAAAAACAATTTAATTTGTTTAACCATATTTACTTTAATAACAGTTTAATAACGTATGATATTTCAAAATATTCAAAAACATTTCGAAACTATTATCGTTTGTGTTCAAATTAAATAACACAAAAAAAATTTAGTATTCAAATTTCCATTTTTAAACTCTCCTTGATAAGAGATTGGAAATTATTTGAAATTAAACCACCTCGCCGTTTTAATATGGTCCGCCGCCTTCTCGGCGATCATGATGACGGATGTCTGTGGGTTCCCTGACACAATGTCTGGCATTATAGAGGCGTCCACCACACGAAGACCACGCACGCCTCTCACTCTGTGAGGTCAAACACATATCAGATTAATTAGTGATCAGGTACAATAGGCATTTGACAGCTGTAGTCAAAACTTCAAAAGCGAAAAACATTTTTAGAGTGTCAGAGATGAACCAGAGGCGTAGCGAGGGGGGGGGGGCGGGGGGACATATGTCCCCGGGCGCCGACCTTAGGGGGGGGGCGCCAAATTGAAAGTTTGAAAGGGGGTGCAAACCAAAAGTTCGAGGGGGGTGCAAATCGAAAGTTTGAGGGGGGGGATGCAAATGAAAAGTTCGAGGGGGGGTGCAAATCGAAAGTTTGTCCCCGGGCGCCGGGAAGGGTCGCTACGCCTCTGAGATGAACAGGCGGCTGCCACCAGATTTAAATTTTAACGTGCATTTTTATTTAATCCAATACTGAGAGCTGATGCATATAAGTCTCTGGTCACCTTAGAATAAAATGTCACTATAGAATAATGAAAAGCGGCAAACAGGAAGGGTTAATCAGATTAATTTTTTACTTTCTTGTTTACAGAGTATAGAGGAAGTATTGAAATCGTACACACAAAAATCACATGAAATTTTGACAGTTTTCATCACTTTACATCTCAGGACTTCATCACACACGGAGTATAGAGGACTTTTTTTAATCGGGCAAAAATTATAAATTCAGATTTATCAAAATTTCGGCGATTTATACGTATTCGAGTCGGAATAACTGGGGTTTGGAATTTTGCGCGTTTGTCTGTGTGTATGTATGTCTGTAAACACGATAACTTGAGTACCGTTACAGCTTGGTAGATGAAATTTCATATGTAAGTATTATATCAAACTATATCAAATTTGTAGTTCTGTATCAACTTTTCAGCGATTTCCGATCAATGGAAGTGGAACTTATTCTACTTTCAATTTTTCAAAAGCCTATAACTTGAGAACTGTCTACGGTATATTAACGAAATTGCATCTATAAGTACAAGATCTAATTTTCAGCCTTATGTCAAATTTTGAATAATTTCCGTTGACCGGAAGTAGTAATTTACGCTATTTCCGATTTCTCAAAAAAACGAAAATAAATTTATAAATTACTAATATTCCGCACTATTATACAGATATTGTTTGCCGTTCACTTGGTGCGCAATTCTTTTTTTCTACGAGATTCTATTCTATTTTTAAAAGTTTTAGTAATGAAAAATTGATTTAAATTATGTTTATATCCCGAGTTGCCGTCCCCCGTAGTGTTATATAAGAATATTCGAGAAAGTCTAGGGGCGATCACTCCCGCTTTATTATGACACTCAATGACGGCACAGATTCTGCAAGCCCACGCAAGAAATGTTTTATTGTAAAGGCTAAGGTACCTGAGCTGTGAGTCCACCACGGCCGTAGGGTCACCTCTGGGTCCCATCTTGCAGGTCCCCACGGGGTGATAGTTGCTGACTGGCCGATATTTGACCAGACACTCCATGTACTGACGAGATCTGAACGTGAAGTTAGAACAATGGGGGGAAGGTGTGTTGTCAGTTAACTCAGCCCCGATAGCCTGCATGGTGCTAGTGTTGACAATCTTTTCACACTCTCTGATACCTGGTGTAAGAGTATATATATATATATATATATATATATATATATATATATATATATATATATATATATATATATATATATATATATATATATATATATATTTCTGTATAAATATGTGTGTGTATGTGCGTGTTCGCGTGTGTGTACGTATTTGTTGTGTGTGTGTGTGTGTATGTGTGGGTGGGTGTGTGCAGTCATGTATGTATATATGTGTGCATGTTTGTGTCTCTGTGCGTGTGTTTGTGTGTGCGGGTATGTGTGTGTTTGTGTGCGTGTGTTTACTGTGTGTTATAAGTGTGTGTGTGTGTGCATGCAGAAGTGTATGTATATATGTGTGCGTGTTTGTGTTTGTGTCTGTATGCATGTGCGTGTGTTTGTTTGTAGGGTACTCACCGTCCACTAAAGTGTCAAGGTCAGACTTGACATTAAAATAATTGGCATAGATTATCGGTTTAGCATTGGGATCTGTTGACCTAAGAGTTATCCTCCCCTGACTCTTGGTTCTTATTACCGAAGCAATACACAAAAACCCGTATTCTGCTGTGTTTCTCTTGGACATCAGAGCCAAAACCTACGGAAAAAAACAAAACTATTTGCTTATAATTTGACACATGTGCCAACTGCTACTATATATAAAAAAATATATACCAGTTACATATTATATACATATCAGTTACATATATAATTATTGACATTTATATACATATATATATATATATATATATATATTATTTATTTATTTATTTATTATTTATTTATTGATTTATTTATATACATAGATGCAAAGGTATATAATAAAGACATACATCTGGAGTGTAGCCGAATGTATTTTCTGAAGTATTAGAGAGGATGAGCGCAAACTCTAAATGAAGATTCGGCATGTCAGTGGTGTTGGTGGTTGACTTAAAGGCAAAAACTTCGGCCATACTTGTGGCTAGCGGACCTGTGGTATTTATGAAATTTTGAAATCTCCGAGTAATTATAATAAAAGTATAAGTCCCCCTTTCATACCTTCTATTCATAGAGCCGATGAAGAAGAGTTTACATGTTGCTTGTCGTCGACTTTTAAATTGGAGGTGTGGTCAGCACTATGCCTAGTCATCTTTACTTTCCCTAACGTGAATCAGGCACCCATTAGAAATGGGTGAATTCATGGGCCGTTTTACAGTCTCGAGTACAGATCGGGATCTGAACTCGAACCTTCAGGCTAGCAGTCTTATGCCCTACCATTCGACCACGCCATCCCGTAGTGTGTCGAATGCATGTACCCTGAGGATGTGTGCTGACTGACCTGTACCGTTGACAGTGTACTGAGCAATTGTGGCTGGGTCGCTTAACTTTCTTCTAGAGATGGTCAGCGACTCGTTTATTTTGACCCCTACATCAAAGGCAATGTGGTCTTGGAGGTTGTAGCCTACGGGAAGATCTCGCTTTATTCTAATCTGGTGAGGACACAAATATTGGTTTAAGTGTTTCGGTTTGATAAAACTGTAAACGTCTACAATCTAGTTTTAAATACATTAATTTACATTGGAAAGAAAAGTACCTTTAAATCTTCCAGATGTTTCCTAGGGCCAATCCCAGACAGCATGAGAATCTGTGGAGAGCCGATGACCCCAGCAGATAGGATGACCTCTCGCCTGGCCCCTATAGTGTAGGTTTTACCGTTCTTCGTGAACACAACACCGTTTGCTCTTAGCCAGTCTATGTTGATCTGACCAGTGGTAAACAAATAATTCAAGGTTCTACATAAGGCCAGTGGTAAACAAATAGTTCAAGGTTCTACATAAGGCCAGTGGTAAACAAATAGATCAAGGTTCTACATAAGGCCAGTGGTAAACAAATAGTTCAAGGTTCTACATAAGGCCAGTGGTAAACAAATAGTTCAAGGTTCTACATAAGGCCAGTGGTAAACAAATAGTTCAAGGTTCTACATAAGGCCAGTGGTAAACAAATAGATCAAGGCTTTACTACACAAGACCAGTGGTAAACAAATAGTTCATTCCTCTCTACATGACATTTTTTGTCTGGTATATTATATAAGAAATATTTGTTGAGATATTATGTCTGAGAATTTTGTTTCAGCCGCTGTGATTTATTTATTTTGTCTGAAATATTAAATTAGATATTTCTTCTGATATGTTATATTCTTAGATATTGTGTCGAAATATTATCACAGATATTGTGTATGATTCATTATTATCTTAGATATTTTGTATGATATATTATTATATTGGATATTTTGTTGAATATATTATTATCTTAGATATTTTGTATGATATATTATTATATTAGATATTTTGTTGAATATATTATTATCTTAGATATTTTGTATGATATATTATTATATTAGATATTTTGTTGAATATATTATTATCTTAGATATTTTGTATGATATATTTATCTTGTATTAGTTATAACTGTAACCAATGGCGGAGACAATATTTAGATGTTAACGTTCGTCCCGTACTTTGGTGACAGTAGAGTTGAGCGAGACGTGAAGGTTTGTCCTGTTTAACGCTGGGTGGATGTAAGCTCTGGACGTTGACCATCTCTGGCCGAATTTGATGTTGTTTTGTGTCCTGGTAATACCTGAAAATAGATCATTAAAAAAAATCTAATTATATTTAAACAATAACAACAAAATTCTTTAGAGGTCGTTATACATTTACTAAAAACCGATCATAGAGTGTTACTAATTACATATTACATTCAGAGTTTCTTCCACGAATCTCTTCGGGTGGGGGGGGGAGGCGGAATTTATATAGACAATACATACTTTTAACAGTGTCCGCCCCATCCCGACCCGGAAATTTTATCCCCCCCCCCCAAATTCAAGTTCTCCCCCCCCCCCCCCTCCCCTAGAGAAAAAGTCAAAAAGTCTGGAAGAAACACTGATTACATTGACACTATGTAAGAGCATTACCGTCCATTGTCTCCCCGTTGTAATCTGGATTTATTGTGTATCCCGCAGCAAGACCCGCCTCCAGTAGTTTGGGTACGATGGGCTGGGGGTCGGGGTGTGTCACGGGAATAGGTCCATCCCGTCCATGATAGACTACACAGCAAAAGTAGTAAAGTTTAAAAATAGAAGTTGTAAGTTTTTTATATAAACCTCGATATCTGAACTATAAAATCTGTAAATGTTTTACTTTGATTCATTTCAAACTCTTTACCTAGAAAAAAAAACCGTTTCTAAATAAAAAAAAAATAAAATGATTTTGCCAAGTCAAAATATAACCTGAGTTCCTGAGTTCCAACACCAGCATGTCCTCCAGCTTCTTGAAGTAAGGTAAGACATGGTTGTAGTCCCAGCTGTTATCTCTGACGTACCTGGCCCACCTGTCAAAGTCGTGTCTGGAGCCTCGAGTTATCTGCATGCCATTGATGCTGCCAGTACCGCCTAGGACTTTACCACGAGGCCAGTACGAACGCTGGAAAATATTTCATCACTTTACAGACAAGTCTTTAGCTACTGTAACTTTTATATTAAGATTTAAATTAATTTTGAATAATAAGTTTAACGTTTGCTTGAAATACATCAGTTATCAATAATTGCTTACGTAAACGAACCAATCAACCCATCTAATGACTCACCCCACCCATCAACACTCCCATCTGATGACTCACCCCACCCACCAACCCTCCCATCTAATGACTCACCCCACCAACCCTCCCATCTAATGACTCACCCCACCAACCCTCACATCTAATGACTCACCCCACCAACCCTCCCATCTAATGACTCACCCCCCTGCCCTCCCATCTAATGACTCACCCCACCAACCATCCCATCTAATGACTCACCCCACCAACCCTCCAATCTAATGACTCACCCCACCAACCCTTCCATCCAATGACTCACCCCACCAACCCTCACATCTAATGACTCACCCCACCAACCCTCCCATCTAATGACTCACCCCACCAACCCTTCTATCCAATGACTCACCCCACCAACCCTCACATCTAATGACTCACCCCACCAACCCTCCCATCTAATGACTCACCCCACCAACCCTCCCATCTAATGACTCACCCCACCAACCCTCACATCTAATGACTCACCCCACCAACCCTCCCATATAATGACTCACCCCACCAACCCTCCCATCTAATGACTCACCCAACCCACCCTCCCATCTAATCACTCACCCCACCAACCCTCCCATTTAATGTCTCACCCCACCAACCCTCCCATCTAATGACTCACCCCACCAATCAATCCTCCCATGATGCCAGGCTGTGGTTCTGTAACGTAGCCCCAGTCTACACTGGACCCTATGTTGAGTGCAGCCAGCGCTGGGATTGTCAGTAAAGGGTTCCCCCTGTCGTCTCCACCAGCTTCTACCAACAACACGGAGACGCCCCTGTCTTCTGACAGACGACCTGCCACAACACATCCTGCTGACCCGGCACCCACTGGGGAGATAAAATACAAATCCTCCTAACATTCTATAGAACCCTAAATTATTAAGTTAAGTTTACAGATGAGTTTGAGAGAGGTGGGGAGTGTGGGATGGGGTTGGGATTAAACCAAGCTTTGAGACAGAAAACGCAATACAATATAGTGTTAATACATGTTTTGTCAAGAGTATAAATGAAGAATGTATATTTTTTTAAAATACCGTGTAGCATGATAGGGGCTGAGACCACAACACCACTAAATCTATTTTCCTTGAGAATAGGGCTGGTAAGTAGGTCACCAACCAGTTATATGGCTCATGCAGGTTTTATTGAGCCGTAGAACTGGTTGGTGACATACTTACCAGCCCTATTCAAGCTCAACTGTAAAGCTGCTTCATTTTGGAAATATGTCCCACAACTTTAATTTGTTGTAGAGAAACTTTTACCCCGACAACAACCAAGCTAGACAACACCTTTTTTTCGTCAAGGTGTTTTGTCGTGCGTGTTTTATTTGTTAGCCTGCATCTCATGCTGCACACATGGATGTGGTTCTAGCAGTGGCGAGGGTGGGGTTGGGTGGAGGTGCTAGGGGGAGGGGGGGGGGGGGGCGGCCGCACCGAGCGCCAATGTTTTGGGACTCTAAACGGGGTAAAAAACTAATAACTTCGTTCTAAGCGATAATACTGAATTATACACAGTCAAAGTTAATATAATAGACTTCTACTTGGCGTTACATGTTGATGTATCTGTTATCTTCATCAATAGGGTGTAACCAAAATATAAACTGTTACACTGTTACATTATAGTAGCTGTTAAATCTCATGATGTGTTTATCCGACCATCATCTAAATGAATTCATCATTTTCCTATCTATCGACAAACCACAACTTGGGGTTCCAATTAACCAGTATGTTTAAATGAACAAACTAAACGGTCGATAGATCTTTATTACAAGCTTTTATTTAGTCCACAACCGCTGTTTATTTGTTTGTTTATTTGTTTGTTTATTTGCTTGTTTGTTTGTGGGTTTGTGGCAAATATTGTAGCTCAATTTTGACGGATTTCTGCTGCAGCAGTTTCGTTCAAACTTTCCAGATATGTTCCACTTCGATGACAATACAAGTCTATCTATTTTTAATTTTAGATGTATAATTAGTCAAAAAAAAATTAATTAAACGTTTTTAAACTGAGGGGAAATAACAAAATTAAATCACTCAGATTACGAGATTCAATACCGAAAGACTAGACGCGATCACCCAAACAGTCTGGTGAGCTGCAGATAACGAAAATGTTTACAATCGTAAAGCCGGTCGATATTTTAGGGGCAGATAAAAAAAAAGTTTTTAAATGACTTGAAAGTAAGGGGAGGTAACAAAATTAAGAAACTGTTGTCATCTGTAAAACATGGTCACGGACGACAGCTTTCACGGGACAGATAATCATCTTTCAGATATCGCGAGTTACTGATGGTTTTTTAAAGCAAATATTTTTAGTCGTGTCGATTTTATAAATTAGGAATCGCTATAAAGTAGAAAATAAAACAAATATTTAAAAAACTTTATGAATTCAATGATCATGAGATCGTTTACATATTTTAATGATAACCATTTTATGAAATACAGTAAATTAGTTTTATTGTATTATTTTCAGTGCATTTAAAAGCTTGTTGCTATAAAGATTGTTTTATTTTTGTTTTATCTTTATCTATCTGGTATAGGAATCTTTTGCATAGAAAGCAGAGGAGATCACTCTTGAAATTACTCATGATTTGACAGAAAACAGAGAATTCGATCTTATTCTTAATTGTAAAAATACATCTATCTTGAGAAACAGTACTCAAGTTATAGGCTTTTGAAAAATCGAAAGTAGAATTTTTTAAAAACTAAAAATTTGAAATAATACTTTTATATTAATGTTCATTAACTTAGCTGTAACGGTACTCAAAGTATCGTGGTCACGAACACACAGACACCTACACAAACACACATACAGACACAGACAAGATTGCAAAATTATTTTTTTTTAAACCCAGGGAGGTTTAAAACGTCGAGATTTGTGAAAATTTCGATTTCGATTTTTTGCACGATTGTAATAGGCCTACTTCCTCCATTGTACGTGAATGTATAATACAAAATCTAGCGTCACTTACCGACTATATAATCATAAGAGGATCTCAAATTTTCTGTCGCAGTTGACTCTCTATTCTGTGCAAGGCAGGCTGTCACCAGAAACGATAACAAGACAGACCGTACCAGCCATCTTTCAGTTGCCATGGTGACTGTGTAAACACACACCAATATGTTGAGTTGTCTTTTAGAAGACAACACAATTTATAGCTTTCCGCGGTAGGGTGTGGCGGGTGTACGCCAGCTTTTAAAACCCGGACTCAGTTGTTTCACGTTCCAAAGCTTGCGAAACAAATAACTTATTTTGACTGTTCTACCTGAGTGGCTTGCTTTTAGTTTCGAATTAAATAGACAAAATCAAGGCAAGATAACCTTGTGGAAGGGGTGCGGAGGAAGAGAGGACGCTCGTCTGTTGCAGCAAAAGCTATTCAAATAAACCGGTAGTGGTCACCCCTAAACTTTTTCGAAAATTCTAATAAAACACTACGGTGGATGGCAACTCGGAATATAGACATGATTTGTAATCTATTTTTAATTACTTAAACTTTTTAAGTAGAATAGAATCTCGTAGAAAAAAAGAATTGCGCATCAAGTAAACGCCAAACAAAATGTGTATAATAGTGCGGAATATTATTAGTACTTTATAAATTTTCATGCGTTTTTTGAGAAATCGGAAATAGCGTATATTACTACTTCTGGTCAACGGAAATAACTTCAAATTTGTATACTTCGTATACTAGAAAGTAAAAAAATTCATAAAAAACGTTTTAATAACAAGCTTTTATGTAATAATGCACTAAAAAGTAGAAAATAAATTATAGACTACTATTTAAATAACTAGAAAGAAAAGCGTGGGTCACTTTAGTATCTATTGGATACCTTTACTAATGTTAAAGAAGAAACCCACGCTTTTCTTTCTAGTTATTTAAATAGTAGTCTATAATTTATTTTCTACTTTTTAGTGCATTATTACATAAAAGCTTGTTATTAAAACGTTTTTTATGATTTTTTTTAGTACTTTACATGTTTTATTTACAATAGAGTTACATGACTAAAAACCATTGCGCGCCTACTGAACGTGATGTCGCAGCCATTGAACGTGATGGCGCAGATATTGAACGTGATGACGCGTGTGGTGTGGTTGGATAAGCATACCTACTAATTCGGTCCAAATTTTAATTAATTCATAAAAAAAGAATTAGGCATCAAATTAAGTCAAATTTAGTTTCAAATTGCATTGTCTTCATGTCTTGACCCACGTGCCAAATGTGAATCGTATCGTATATATATATATATATATATATATATATATATATATATATATATATATATATATATATATATATATATATATATACATACATATATATATACATATATATATATATATATATATATATATATATATATATATATATATATATATATATATATATATATATATATATATATTTATATATATATATATATATATATATATATATATATATATATATATATATATTGTATGTATGTTTATGACACTTCCATGAGTGATATTTTTCTTGGCTGCATGTTACTCTAAAAGTGGCAAGACGATGCTTCAACCAAACTTTCTCTATCTAAAGTTAAATGTATCTTACCAACTCTCAAGAACCGGCATTCAAAATTCCTAGCAAACACTTCAAAACAATTAAGAAAACGTGTTGTTTTAATTAAAAATCCGTTATTCGTTTAACAAAACATAATTCTCATATCGTTTAGCCTTGAACTGTATTTTACCTTTAGTGTTTTGCAAACCAAAACCTATTTTACTAGGGATAGCAAAACGTTGTTGAGACACTCGTTATCCTGTTTATATTTGTTCTTTACAGAACAGTTGGATGAAAAATAAATAATTATCATTTAAAAAGTTATAAAAACCCACGTTTTCTGATTGAACTAAAAAGTAGAAAATAAATGCTATACATCACAATAATGCAAGCGATCACTCTACTATAAGCGATGAAAAACGTGGGGCGCCGAAGTAAAAGTTTTTTATCGGTCATTGTTAATATAAGATGTAAAAGTTATATTACTATTGATTAGATAATACTATTGAGTTTTATTAGGGAGCTTGTAGAGAGTCAACAGTATTTGAAACTGTAAGAAAATCACGGCGCACCACGTTTTTCATCGCTTATAGTAGAGTGATCCGAGGGCGGAACTACAGTGCCGCCAGACCCCGCAATGCGGGGGGGGGGGGGGGGGCACGCCATTTAGGGGCCCAGAGCCGACCATAATACATTTTTTATAGTTTAAAAAAAAAGTAAATTTTCTTTCATTTTTGACTTGATGGTTGTTTTGTAAAAAATTACCGTATCTGTAGTTGGATTATATTTATTCTATAGACACCACCCAGCGCTCTTGTAGATTCTTTTTCCCTTTGTTTTTAAACCACTGTGGAAGCCGAGTCTTTCTCCTACAATTAAACTTATTAAAGATAAGCAAATGTTCAAACCATTTTAATGACTTATTTCCTTTTTTTTTTAAATAGTCAAATAGGGGTGATCATAAGCTTCTTTTAATAGATTTGTATTAGACATATTAAAAAGCAATTACTTCTCTTAATTTTTTTTGTAAGTAATTACTAAAGACCGGCATTGTATAAAAAAGAAATGAATTAAAATCAATAATATTTAAAAAATTAATAATAGAAATACAAAGAAAAACATAAAAATAAACATAAAACGAGACACCATTACTTATACAAAGCTTTCATGTTTTATATTATTTTGACCGACTGGATATTAAGAGGGCTTCTAATAAAAATTAAGTAAAACTGATTTTCACAAAACACACTAATGCACTCACACACATGACATAATGTTGAAATTGTTTTTTAAATTGATGTTTTTTAAATCCCGAACAGGCCAGCAATGAGCATCCTATGTTCGCATTTTGTGAGGTATATATATATATATATATATATATATATATATATATATATATATATATATATATATATATATATATATATATATATATATATATATATATGTAAATATATATATATATATATATATATATATATATGTAAATATATATATATATATATATATATATATATATATATATGTAAATATATATATATATATATATATATATATATATATATATATATATATATATATATATATATATATATATATATATATATATATATATATATATATATATTTAAAAACCTTCACAGTGAAACGAAAACGAGATATGACGTCACATATAAAATAATATCAAGCCGGAGAGTGCACACAGTAATATGACGTCATTGATTCTCGAGTAAACATTGAATAAAAAGGAAATTTTGTCTTATCTAAGTGATTTGCATGAAGAGTTTCTTTCATACAACTCTTCGGGTAGGGGCGAAGCCCCGCCCCCCGCGTAAGAACGTCTGAGCCCCCCCCCCCCCCTCCCCAACCGTTACAGCTAGGTTGATGAAATTTCATATATAAGTATTTTATCAAAATCGTAGATCCGTATCAACTTTTGAGTGATTTCCGATAACCGGAAGTGGTACTTTTTCTACTTTGAATTTTTCAAAAGCCTATAACTTGAGTACTATTTCAGATAGATAAATGAAATTTCACATGTAAGTAACAAATCAAATTTTCTTCGTTCTGTCAAATTTTGAGTAATTTCCGTTGAGGGGAAGTACTAATTTACGCTATTTCCGATTTCTCAAAATCGCATCTAAATTTATAAAGTACTAATAATATTGCGCACCATTACGAACATCTTTATTCGGCGTTCGCTTGGTGTGCAAGACTTTTTTCTATGAGATTCTATTTTATTTTAAAAAGTTTAAGTATTTAAAATGGATTAAAAATCATAACTATATCCCGAGTTCCCATCCTCTGTTGTTTTTATATAGAAATATTCGAGAAAGTTTAGCGGAGATCACTCCCGTTGTTTTTTTTTGTTTTTTTTTTTGCACAATTACAAGACTTTCTCTATACTTCGTATATATGAGAAAGTAAAAAGGCTGAAGATGTATTTACACTTTGACGCTATGTACAGCATGTTATGAGTTGGGTGTCTTTGATGAGATGTGTATCTCGTTACGCACGAAGGATGAAATCATGCGTGCGTGGACGTATGTCAAGTCGCTAAATTTAGTCTTGATAATCTAACAGCAATTTTATGTTGACAAAAGGGCCTTGTGTTTTTGTCGTGTCGACTTGTTAAAGTACTCGAACACTTTTAAAAATCGGCTGAAATATATTTCACCGGGTCACTTGGCTTGGGTAAAAATCCGGCCTATCAATCTAGAAATACAAATACACATGCATACAGCCACACAAACGCACATACACAAAACATAGTGACACCTTTTGAATCAAGTCACAAACGGAAGCTAACACAAACATATACACATGCACATACATATACGAACACATATACTGACAAACACACATACAATAACACCTAGGGCTTAAAGTTATCTCTAATTCTCTCATCATTTTAATTACTGATGTGTGATTAATTAACTTTACTGTGTTTTAAGGTTGTTTTTTTTTTAACTTAACGTATGTTAAATGCAACAAAGCATACAACAATATCACTGGGATCTTAATTTCAAATTAAAAATTTTTAGATGGAAAAAAGAAATCCACTCATCTAGGTGTTTAAAGAAGCTTAATTAAAGAACTGGTTCACTGGCCAGTCCAGTAACTCCTGTAAACAAACAAACATAAGAGACTATCGAGACCAGCCATAAAACAGCTGTCTGTTGAAGAAGACTCCAGAGATGTAATTTGTAACGTTTTCATACGAACACAGTGACATTTATTAGCAGTTATACGGTATAGATTGAGCTACATATGGGCCAAAGCTCGATTGTCTTTTCTCCAATCACTGGTCTACGCCAGGGGGGGGGGGGCAATTGTTTTGACTCGAGGGCCACTTTGTCGTAGCGGATTTTAGCGGAGGGCCGCACCGTTTAAAATGACGTGCTGTCTGTTAAATTTGACCTGCTGTCTGTCAAAGTTAACCTTGACTTTTTTATCACTTTGCCAAAGCTCAACCACCTCCCACTGTTGTGTAAATTACATCTTCATAATCTACCTGCATATCCTCAAGCATTGATTTGAACTTTCGATAGTTGAGTGTCTGAATATTTTAACCACGCTTACAACAGATTATATC